AGGGCAGGTGGAGACATTTGCTTATAAGGTCAACTGAACTACACCTGCATTGGGGCTAGCCATGTTTGTTTGTTTGGTCATGTGCAGAAGAAAGACGTCAGTAGATTGGTTTTATTTAGATGCTTTGCAGTGTTCTCTGCAAAATAGCCAAGCCTAGAAGCACACTGCAAAAATACTGCTAACCTTTATCATGTCATGTTGTAACTCTCAAAATCTGATTCTAATATTATTCTGCCTACTTAAGTATGTCAAAATATACAAAAGCCAACCTAAATTGATTGATTATAATACAACTTCATCTGCCTACAGGAGAGGCTATAGATATGATTTTTAGCAAATATTACTGCAAATTCTTTACAGGGAATGCCTGAAATTTGACTTCAAAATTAACATTTTTTTTACTATTAACAATAAGAGCATAACTGACTGCAGATTGCAGATTGGCTTTAATAACATTAAAAAAGAACTATGGGGTAAGTGTTTTTCCCCATAGTTCTCTTAAGGGACATGGGAGGACATATACTAGCGTCCTCCCGTGACCCAAAGGTCAGTATATTGCAAGCTACAGCTCACGGTATAGTGAGACTGCCGCAGTCAGGACGGATCCCGACATTACTGTGGAGATCCACCAAGCTGCGCGAGTGACAGCGGGCTCTGCCTATCTGGAGGCAGAGCCAGTTGTGCTCGTCCCCTCCCCCGTCTGTTCCTCCAGTCAGAGCTGGAGGATCAGAGCGGACAGGGAGGGAATACCTGCAGGGAGCCGTGACAGTCACTGCTCTCTGCAGGGAGATGATCGAGAAGTGAGCGACGGTATGTGTTCGCTGACTTCCCGATCTATTGAGACGACGTGTGACAGTTTCATTGTCACACGTTGGCTTGAACTATGAGGATGAGTGATTTTCACTCACCTCATAGTTCTCCTTTAAGGGGTGTATTTATTAATGTTTTCACCCAAGGTAGTCCCGAAATAGAAAACTGAACATTCACCCTATGTATCAAGCCAAATTAGTGGAAATTTGGTCAAGATTGATCAAGTGAAAATGACATTCGCTCAAATCGAAAACATCTGTTCTTCAATAGGAAAAGGTTTTTACTGTAAAATTCTCCCTATTTAAAATAGTGAATTCTACCTTCCGTCAACATATTTTTTATCTATATTCATTTAGCAAAAATTGAATGTTCCTTTAGATGATGTCATCTAAATCAGTATTTTCAAAAAGCATGCACCCTGCAACTCCAGTTACACAAATAGAAAGTATGTACAGGCAAACTTATGGTATGGTGTCTCATTTAAGGTTACTTAGGGGGTTATTCACTAAAGAGCTGAAGGATCCAGCTGTAGCTTCGGCTGATCTTTCGGCTCGCTTCAGCCACCTCTGCCCTTCAGTTCAGTCAAACCGAAGGGCTGCTGTACGGGCTATTCACAAGGGCGGCCAAGCGGCTCAGCTGAGCCAAACGCATATGCTTCGGCTCGGCTGAGCCAAAGTAACTACCGAAACGGGGAGAACCGTCGGCTTTGGCGCAATTCAGCTTTGGATCACCCCACAAATGACAGCTGGGCGGAGCCAGTTGTGATCTCATTGCTCGTTTGACCCCCTCATTCTTTTCATTTATTTTCTATTCTGCTAGCTACCTCGGAGGTACCGGACAGAAGGGTCGAGCCGAATGCCACTCGGCGGCATTCGACTATTCACTCACTGCCATTCGGCCTCCACGAGAATAGGGATGAATGGCAGCGAGCGAGCTGCCGGAGCTTCGGCTCAGCCGATCCAGGTGTTGGATCGGCTGAGTCGAACTGCTTCTGCACTTCAGCTCAGCCGAACATGCAGAGCATGTTCGGCTGACCAAAGGCAGCCAATGTATGGCTGATTTCAGCCGATGTACGGCTGAAATCAGCTGTACAAGACTGAAGTGAATAGCTGAATAGCGTATGGCTCACTTCGCTTCGGCTGGGTCATTCACTCTTTGTGAATAATCCCCTTAACAACAGGTTCACTTTCAGCCAGTGCATTATCCAGGAATACAGGGGCCAACTAGAAAATATATTGGCTATTCACACTTGCGAATGGAGCCGATCGCATGAGACTCACGCTTTCACCATGAGATTTTTTAAAACATGCTTTCAATTCTGATTTACAATAAGTAAAACAAAGATAGATCACATACAACAAAAACATAACCTTTTTTTTGTTACCCTTCATATAACAATTATTACAGCATCGCCAAGGACTAGACACTTGCAGTTATATACAGTATATAGCTTTAAAGTGAACCTGTGCCCAGATCAAACACATTAAAGTATTTACGTATTATGAAACATTACTAAAACACCTTAAAACAAGCCATCATTCATCACTGTATAGGCATTGCAATCTCAGCTTTTTTCTCGAGCAGATCTTGGCAGCCTATCAGCCCTCCAATGTAAACACACAACAGGGGGTTCTAAGGTATTAGGGTATTTGTTGTGACCTTTGAGGATATTTGAGAATAAACAACTTCACATTAAAAGCAGCTACAGAGGTGAGTGACAACTTGTGTTAAAGGAGAACTATGGGGTTAGGGCTTTTCCCCATAGTTCTCCGAAGGGTAACGGGAGGACACAAACTAGCGTCCTCCCGTTACCCAAAGCTCAGTATACTGCGAGCTGCAGCGTGCGGTATACTGAGACGCCGCAGCTGAAACGGATCCCGACAATTATGTCTGGATCCGCCCAGCTGCGTGAGTGACAGCTGGCTCTGCCTATCTAGAGGCAGAGCCAGCTGTACCCGCCCCTCCCCATCCGTTCCGCCCTGTCAGCGCTGGAGGATCGGAGCGGGGAGGGGAGAATCCAGTCATTCCCTTGTCACGGCTCTCTGCAGTGACAGGTATGTGTTCGCTCACTTCCCTATCTACTGAGCCGACCTGTGATAGTTTAATTGTCACAGGTCGGCTCATATTATGAGGCTGAGTGAAAAGCACTCACCTCATAGTTCTCCTTTAAAGCTCATTTACTGCTTCTTAAGAATATGTAGAGTTAATTATCCATAGTTGGCCAGAGGTGCACTTTAAGCTGATTTATCAAAACCGGAGGAAGTGTATAGCTTTTTTTAATTCAACGATTCAGATTTCCCTTCCCATCCATCCAAGTAGGTGGCTTTGGATTACCACAAAATGGCACACGTCCACCCCTGCAGTTTTCATAAACTAGCCGTCTTACAACAGAAAAATGAATGTAGTACTTTTTATTGGAATGCCCTGAAATGAGACAATGAAAAGAGACATATTTACCTGAAATCTTCAGAGGAGCGTTCTCTCTCAAATTCTGGAAAGTGTCTTCCAGTTATGTGAAAATAAGAAAGAAGGTGAAATATATGGAAATATATACAGAGCATGAATTATTGATCACTACACAAATGCAATGTCAGTCAGTGTGCACAGTGTGGCTATGTGGTGTGTTGGGGAGGCATGGTTTCAATTCTAACCTAATTGCTTCTGTCTTACAATCTACTATAATTGTAAGCTTCATGCTGCTTTAGCGGCTTTTTAGAGGGCTTTGTTGGGTTATACTTTCTCATTGCTTCCCTAATCCATAGGAGACATTGTTTCCATCCACTGCATTCATGATGACCAACAAGCCCAAAATAGCTGTATGCAGTTGGGAATAAAAGACCCTTTAATATCAGGCTGCGTCTGTTCTATAAACTACCACTTCCGTATGTACAGTTGGTCACAGCGACATAAAAGAATGATTAGCATGGCTCCACTACTCTAAAATAAGGAATACTCCCTTTAATTATGGCATTTGTGATAGAATGAGGCATGTAAATACCTTCTGTTCTAGGAAGGTTTTGTCTTCTCATTGAGTATTCCTGTGTTTGAATCCCCAGGGCCTCTGCGCTAGCTCTGACCAATGTGGCAGAAGTTTCACAGGAGAACTACAGCTGGGTATAGGTGTATGAATGCATTTCCAGCAAAAACTTTGTTTTGGATAGAGTTGTGAAGGGTAAAGCTAGGGATGCTCCAATACCGTTTTTTCGGTATGGAGTACGAGTACCAATATTTATATTTCGGTACTCGCTGATACAGAGTATCAGTACTTCTAGTAGCACAGAGCCGGCTACTCTGCCACTCAAGAAGCCAGGCAGCGTGTCACTACCCACTGCCCGGCTTCTTAATTGCCCGGGAAGCATTCTCTCTGCAGTTTGGCTGGCTCCATGCTGGTTGGCTGGAAAGCTGGCTTCCCAGCCAATCAGCATTGGGCCGGCCAAACTGCAAACAGCCGGCTGTTTGGGCGGCTCAATGCTGATTTGCCAGGAAGCCGGCATCCCAGCCAATCAGGAAGCCGGGAGGCGGGTCATTTCCTCTTGCCCGGCTTCCTGATTGGCAGGGAAGCCGTCTCCATGCTGTTTGGCTGGCTCCATGTTGATTGGCCGGGAAGCCAGCATCCCAGCAAGCCAGGAGGTAGGTCATTACCCGCTGCCCGGACTCCTGATTGGCCAGGAAGCCGGCTCCATGCTGATTGTCTGGGAAGTATCGGAGCATTTGGGCGAGTACGAGTATTGGAATCAGTGCATCCCTAGTTAAAGCCTAAGTAAAGTTTTGATTGCTGTGTCCCTACAGATGAGATTTACCCTCTCTACCTGTCTTGGTGACCACTGTCACTGGAAGAAAATTTATGGGAAATGCAAATGTTATGATTTTCACGACAACAAAATGTGATGGGCACTCTCCCTAAGGAGACAACCGTTACCCTTCAGTGAAATCCACATCAGTGGATCTAGAGATATAAACAGTTGACTTTACATACACTTTTCCTATAAAAGCTGAGCTTGGAAATCACCCCCACCTCCAAAGCCTCCCTATTAGAGGCTACCTATCACTAGGAAAACCTTTAGGAGGTTTGAAAGGCAGGGAGGGAGAAGGGCCATGCTCGACTTTCACCAGAAAGGATCAGATGTCCTATCATTGTCGCTGCCCAGATCTATAGATTTATTGATCATTTGGGCATGCATTTTTCACTGACAGTGATTTCTACTTATGTATTTTTTCATCATATGTTCAGTCTGAAGTGCCCAAGTTTGTGACAGGTTTCAAACATATGCTGATTTTTATTAGGTGATTCTACATTATTATTTTACTAGATTATAAAAAGATTCAAACACAATAACAGCAGAAAAATATTAAATGTTCTCTGCTAATACAGCTACATATCTCCAAATATTTCCTGGCCACATAGTCTTGTGATGGTGTTTTCATAATATACTAAAAGTAACACACTCCTTTTCTCTCTGGTCAAGTAAGCGTGTACAGGGTTCTCTTAATTAAACTGAAGACATTCAGGGTAAAGTAGAAAATGATCTCACAGCAAGGTAACAGAAAATGTACAGATTGTGAGTTTTACCTCCTAGAACATTAGGTTTGGGTGTAAAGATGCAGGTTTAATGGCCACCAGGTTTTTACTGCTGATTGTAACCCCTGGAGTGGAGAACTACTATCATCCTCAGGTTAAATGTCATATCAGGAACTCTATTGTGAGATGGTCTTTAAAGTTTGCTTATATTGATATGGAAAATCCAGAGGGAAGCCACTGTCACTTTATTATACGGTCACCATCCTTTTGGTGTATGCACTCCACAGAGAAGAACCAGAAAGTTAAGCCTGCAGAAGAGCCCTGGCTCTAGCAACCGTGCCAGAGGGGAGGACAGAGGGGAGGACAGATCTCTCTGCTATGGTCATAGACAACAAACCTTTCCACTTATTTGAAAGTGTCAAATTATCTTTGATCTACGAGGCCTATTGTTAAAATGTGCCTTTCTGAGTGTTAAAGGATCACTAGGTGGGCAAGTCTTTGGCCAGTGCTGCAGTGATATTTCGCCAATTATATATTCTATATAGTTAACTTCCACAAAAAGATCTGATCAATTCCAATGTGAATAGTATTCCTTAGGACAGGATGCCAGTTCCATCCAGGTGGCAAAACAATATAGCAAGTATTTATTACTATACTTGTTAGTTACTGCATGTTCTAGTAAGTAAGCTGCCCACCAATATTACTGTGATACTCCAATTACACATTGATCTACAGTGCCCTGAATAATCGGAGTTTAATTATCTCCTCCTTGCACATACAGGAAAATAGCCAGGTTTGCACAGACTGTGGATATACTTACCCATATGTAATACCACCAATGCTGCATTTCTTGAAGTGCATGATATTGCAGGTTAAAGTTCCAGTTTTGTCTGAAAACAAATACTTGACCTAAGGGGGCAAACAGACACTGTCATCAATCTTCTCCTAATATAATCCTAAGGGCTTGCTCACATCAAAATGCATGCGTTTATGTGTACTGCGAAGAAGTGAGTTGACGTGTTTTAGACACGTTGCGCTGCTTTTTTATAGACTCCATTTGAACTGGCTTGAATGGCAAACTGCAGGCCAACACAACCTGAATACAGCATGCAGTCCCCGTTCACACCAGCGTGTTTGCAGCTCAAATTTTCTCATCACGGAGAAAGCTCTTCACATGCCTGTGCCTCTTTTTAGGGAGATCAGCACGATGTGACCCTTTTTCCTATTCCTAATTGCGCTGATCTGCCCAAAAAAAGACGCCAGTGAACCTTTTTCCAGGGAACGGCATTTTTCCAGCGCGACGCTATGCTGAGACTTGAACGGGGACTATAGAAATCAATGTGATTTCTTGTGCGGAGCTTTTCCATGCTGAAAGATATGAGCTACAAACGCACTGGTTTAAATGGGGACATATCCATTTTTAACATACTTTCTATCACTATAATTAAGAACAATGATCTGAAACTCCTTTGTTAGGCTTTGTTCAGACCACCAGCGTGCACTACCTCATAGCCGCTGGTGTGCGCTGAAGGAAAGTGGTGCAATCCATTGATTTCTGCACAACTCACTGTTTAATTTTTGTTGAAACATTACTGAAATGTCACAAATTTAATTCAGTTCTATTCAACCCAGCATCTGTGTGGTGCGTCACATGCCTGCAGCACTTATTTTAGCGCACATTACCGCAATGTTGTGGTGTGAACTGACTTCATAGGAAACAAGGTAAACTGCCTTTGTAGGGAATTTATCAAAACTGGAGTAGACAAAATCTAGAGCAGCTGTGCGTGGCAACCAATCAGCTTCTTTCTTTTATTTTATTTTCAAACCTTAACTGAAAAGACTAAAGAGAGAGGCTGATTGGCTACTATGGGCAACTGCTCCAGATTCTGTCTGATCCAGTTTTGATAAATTCCACCCTCTTGTGTATGCGTTGGGACTGCACTGGGTAGCCTAAAACATCTGGTGTGAACAGGTCCTCAATGTCTTAAGGCATTTCAATAAAAGCTTTGTTTTTTTACAGGAGCTTCATAGATGTGCTGGTAACTACACTGCCTGACCAACAAAAAGTGACACAATGTCATATTTTGTTGGCCCGCCTTTGATTACAACATGCATTTTCCATGGCATCATTTTGATAAGTTTACGCAATGTCACAACATTTATTTCCATCCAGAGTTGCATTCATTTTTCACCAAAACCTTGTAGTGATGATGGGAGAGTCAGACCACTGTGTAAAGCCTTCTCCAGCACACCCCAAAGATTCTCAATGGATTTATGGTCTGGACTCTGTGGTGGCCAATCCATTTGTGAAAATGATATCTCATGCTCCCTGGACACAATTTGAGCCTGGAATTGTCATCTTGGAATATACTCGTGCCATCAGGGAAGAAAAAATCCATTGATGGAAAAACCTGGTCATTCCGTATATTCAGGTAGGCAGCTGATCTCATTTTGTGGGCACATACTGTTGCTGAACCTAGACCTGACCAACTGAAGCAACCCCAGATCATAACACTGCCCAAAATCTAAGTGGTGACCTTTATTTTATTTTTGTATCTACATTCAGAGCAGATGCTTGTACTACTCAGCCATGGATAGGAGAATTTGAAAACAACAGATGTGAACACAGCTTTACTTTACACATCACACTTTAGTAAATCAGGACTCTACTGCACATATAGTACAGACATGGCAAATCAGAAAAAAATCTGAGAGATATAAGAAGCTGTCAGTTGCGTTACCTCTCTAGCAAGTACCAAAAACAAAACTATCGGTTGTAAGTGGACTCATGTTTGATGTGTTGTTGAAACACATTCATCGTGGCAACCGATAAAGGAGTTGCTAGTAATTAGAAAAATAAAAACTTTTAGCACATTCAGTTCTCACAGAACAGGGCTTCAAAACATTATAATTGAAACCACCACCACCACAAGATCAAATCCTTTGTGGAAAAAACACATCACGATAGAATTCCTGCAATAATGCAACTGTACCAGATGAGGGCAGCACTATCACATGCCATATTGCCAGCACTGTGTGTTTTAATGTATTACAGCCGGAGACAATTTCTTTTTTTAGTTTATATATGTAATGTCTACTTTTTGTTTTACCTGATAAGACAGAGAATATAATTACAGTGTAAGCAATTTGTTGTTGGAAAGCAAAACAGCATATAATACATGAATATGATTACAGCAAGAGTAGGCATTACAGCAGTATTGAAACAACAAATCCAATGTTGCCTCTGCCTCTGAGAGTAATGGCTATGGCTGTCAAAGTCTTGCAATGCCTCATGGGACTAGTAGTAGCCACCACTCCAAGCTCGCTCCTGTAACACACTATAGCTTCAGTATAAATTAGTAAACTAAGGGGTCTATTCACAAAGCTGCCGAGGGCAGCCGAGTGGATGACCGATCAGAAGTGAAGTGAGCCGAACACAGCTGAGTTTAGTTTCACTTTAACCCCTGCTTATGGAAAGGCTTCTTTATAGAAAGAGCTGGTAAAAATGAAAAAGACTAATCAACTCAGTAGATTGCTTCAGACAGAGGCAAGATGAGTTTCTACAGGCACAAAATATATTTGGCTATTAGTAATAAGCAATAACACTATTGACCCAGGGAGTATCCAAATGTATTTGGACAGGAAAGAATTTGTTCCCTGTTCGAGCACATTGAATTACATTTTATAAAGTTGTCATGGATAACTTACATGTTTAGGGTTCTGAGGATAGATGCAGGTTTTTAATGTATCTTGTTGTCTTTTTCCTGAACCCGATGCACGTCTTTTTTTCAACCAAATTATTTCATAATGGCAATGAGACACAATCAGCCTTTTTCAATAAGGCAACGGATAATGTTCAGAGTGTAGTAGCTGATAATAACTAGTTAAAAGCCATATTTTACTAAAACTGATGGCAGATGAAATTGAACTGGTTGCTGTTGGTTTTTGCCCTTTACTAACACCCCATGCACACCTGAATATGAGAACTACAACATGACACTATTATCACATTATGTGACATAAGATAGGAATGAAGCACCAATGAACTGCTTACCTGTCCCAGCTCTTCATTCAGATTGGATGTTCTGGCCATAGCGGGAGTGTCTGTGTCTGCATAGTACATATCTCTGTCCTGTAATACAGAATGTAGTCCATAAACCCAACGCACTCAGAAACGCTGTTCCAAAATATTAAAGTTGGTGCTGCGGCTGTCGACGGATGGCAACCGTCACAATCACAAGTAGAAATATAGACACCGGCACCCCAATAGCAAACCAAATACGTCTATTTATTTGACATTTGAGCAGCACAGCATGATACACCCAGTGCAGTGTCTGTATCTGCATAGTACATATCTCTGGCCTGTAATACAGAATGTGCCTTCATCAATATTTCATGATGGGATAACCGTGACATTTACAGATTGGAATGACAGTAGTATACATTACAAACGTGCTCAGTCATCTGAGGGGCCTGTTCACAAAGAATCGGGAGACTGAATCACTTTTGCAACTTGGATTGCGGTTTTCAGATTGAACTTGCCCCTGTTGCAGTGATCTATAGGCTGGTAAACTAAAAGAACTCTGAATTGGCTTTAAATGTTTGGGAAAACTGGTCAACTGAAAGAAATCTGGTGAATGTTGCAAAGGAAAAGGAAGGCTTTTTTTTACAATACATTATAAGTGCCATACTAATCCTGCAAATATTGTTCCTAGATTCCAACATCTAAGCTTTCTAAATGTGACAAGCGTACGTAAAATAGGGATAGAAAATGGATACACCGAAAACTACTGAACTAATAAATGAAAAGGGCAAACATGATTCTTGAACAAGCTTTTATCAATAGGTCAAACTGTAAAATAAAAGATAAAACAAGGGCTACATGCGTATAGGCAGACAGCCTGTGTTTGGAGAGGTGCATATGGCCCTGTATGCATGTATCCACTCTATGCATGTAGATTAGTGTATATTTGTATGCAGCTGCTGCCTGTTATTGATTTATACAGGCTGACTGGAGAGGGCTGTATGCTCCATCTGTTACTCCTGGTAGAAAAAATATGGCTATATTGTATATTATATGGCCATTTATTGCCATATACATGAGCCCTTACAGTACATATTCACCCATGGCTACCATTACAACTCGCTTTATGTGAACCTGCTTTTGATAATGACACACGTTATGTGTCGGGGCACCTAAACTGTATATAAAGTGAGAACGTTTTTTTCATTTTGGATACAGTGGTTAGAATCACTGTCATGTTTTTATCACTGCCTCTGTCTTCACTAGGAAAATTCACCCTTTCTATTTGTCCTTGAAACCAGCGTCCCAAGAGCTGAAAGAGAGTGAAGAAGAATCCAAAATTGTGAGTTGTTACCAGAGCAGGCATAGAGAGGATGGGGACACTTGGTGATAACTGTATGGCAGATTTTCCTCTGTTTGGAGAGATTTTCACTTCTCTACAATGGAGCACAGATGACAAAAAAAATCTGATAGCTAACTGGGGACACAAACCGGCAATTGACTGCTATAGATGAACCTTCCTTTCTCAACAGCAGTTTTAACTGCTCTCCACCCTGGAAACTATCGCCTTACTTGAAGCTGTAAAGCTGCCTTGCAGTACAGTGTTTGCACATCAGAGAGACACTCATCTAGCTGAAACATCACCTGGCTGTTAACCTTGCCTTGCTCTGTCTCTAGCAACATACACAGACTATGTTGCTACCACACCTGGCTGTTAACCCTTGCTTCTCAACTCCACCAAGATATTGACACGAAGCTACAACTCCACCTGGCTGTTAACCCTTGCTTCCCTCAACTCTACCAAGTATAATGATTGTCATGTCGGATGGCCGAACGGTGAGGAGGAGAGAAGACGCAGGCTGTAGCCGCCCCGAGGACGAGCTGTGTCGGCTGCCTGGTGCCCTTGTTGCCGCGGCGCCTCGTGCGGCCGCACAGCTCGACAACCCCAAGGGCCGGCCCTGCCTGCGCATGCCTATAACCTACACTGGATAATCTTTCTACACATAGATATCATAATGTAATGCAGAGCACAGGGATAAAACATTTTGTAAATAGTTTTCATTACCTATCATGTGTGTGCAGGCTGTTGAGATATCTACTATACACAAGGGAAAGTATTTTAAGCCACCCTGTAACAATACTAATTTTTTTTCAATCCAGGCATACCTGTAAAAGAAGATTGTGAATACTTCCTTTCCTGCTACCCATGCCCTTAAAGCTGCTCCAATCATGGCAAATCTTCAAGTGATATCTGCTGGAAAACTGACACTTCCGGGAGAGTCAATCTTCTGTGTCCACTGTAATTCTTAGTGGTTCTTCCCACTGACCACCACATCATTACTGTGTCCTAATATATTGAGGCCAGAGAAAGCAACCAGTGAGAGCTGCAGGGGACCCAGCAGACTGACTCTCCTGGAAGTGTCAGTTTTCCTGCAGACTTCTCAAGATTGAAGAACGTTGGATCAAGGAGCAGGAACAGTAAAGTATTTACAATCTTCTTCTACAGGTATGCCTTAACTAAAAAATAAATAACGACAGGATCATTTTAATTGTTATTTTTAGGTATCCATATTGTGTGTGGTATACAGTTACCTACAACTGACAGTAAATTGTTCTCATGGATGTCTGAAGCTGGCCCCATTTAACAGTCATGACAATAGAGAAAATATATTTTCTGACATCTCTTATTATGTTCTCCCAGGCATAGGCTTCCATGAATTCGTTCTCTGACTCACCCAGTTGATGAAAAGAGCCTGAGTGAACTTCACCACCTCCAGGGTCACCAGCAGGCTGATGGGGATGAGGTTGTTGTACAGGATAATGAATGTCAGAAGATTGTATCCAAAGTTGTTAGATATAGCCTCTGTGGAAAGATCAATGTACAGTTATTAGCATTGTGTTCTGAAATATAGCAGCAATGGTAAACAGCTCAAACAAACACCTGAAGATGATTGCACTATTGTGGAAAGGTGCAATGAAATGTGTTTGTGATTGTGCAGAGTAGGCTTTTATTTATAGCCATAATCACTGTCATGGTGCTGGGAGTGCAGCACATGGACCCCCAGATCAACTCGGATTCATAGTAATGAGGCAGTATACTAAAACCCTAATAGATTATAGAATCATTCTCTCTCTGTCTCACTGACACAAATTAAATAAAAGGTAAAGACATCTGTGAAGGTTCTCATTCATCCAGGTCATGGTATATCTGTAAAAAATGAGTCAAGGCAACTGGAGCTGTATTTTTCTTGAAGAAGTTTCACTGGATATCCGACCAGCTTTTGAGCCCATTAGACACTCTGGACACATTGCTAAAGTCCTGATGAAGGGGGATTTTTCGCCTCCGAAATGCATTGGCTGCCTTTTGCTTTTCTGTTGTCACTTGTGAAATTATCAATAATTTTTTTGACTCTTACAGGGTTATTCACAAAAGGGTGAAGAGTTTGGAGAAGGCAGGAGAAGTGAACAATCTAGGACAACATAGCTGAACTGGAAAAATTCTCCAATTTAGCTCACTTTCCAGTTCAGCTTTGTTGTCCTAGATTGTTCACTTCTCTTGCCTTCTCCAAACTCTTCACCCTTTTGTGAATAGCCCTGTTAGTCTTCTGAATCTGTTTTGCAATACTCTAAAATTCTTAAAGAGCAAAAACATTTGGATAAAGTGCAGAATGATTCATGCTACATGCACAAGGGCTTAAGGCTCCACATGGGGATTCTTGCTGTAAAAACCTATGGATTCTTGCTGCAGGAAACCTAGGTGGATCCATTCAGCCCGTTTAAGTGAATGATAGACCAAGGCAGACTGAAAACAGGGAGGATCATCTATCCCGTTCCATGTACGATTACATGCGGACAGCCAGTGACAGATGTGGTGGCTGTCAGCCTGTCATTAACTTGAATGAGCACAGCAACAACATCACTTGGACCCACCTGGGTTTCGGTAGGGACGCTATTCTGGTTGCGGTGACAACTGTAACATTTTGGATTTTCCATCACCTTCTGCCCTGGTGAAAATGGTCACCAGAACAAAAAGAGAAGGTGAGTCTCCCCAGTGGGAACAAAGACAGAAATAAAAACCCAACAGAGGTGTTAACACTTCTATGCTCCATCCAAAACTAACAAAAAGATTTGCCTTTGCATAGACTATAAAATTATACTGTACAAGTAACAGTAAACAACCAATCCATCATATGTTTGATTGTTTCAAATTATGATTCACTACAGACAATTGTTCAATAAAAAAAAAGATCAAGTTGGTTAAATTTGGTTGGATTATGAGCTAAAATCACCTGAAATAGATTGTCAATTGTTCAAACTGTTCATGTATGAGCCAGTTTATGAATGATTTCTAAGATTCACACATCTCTTTTTAAATCCAGGATTCATACATTTTTCAATTTAATTCCAAAATGTGTGAATTCTGGGTGAAAGCTGTGAATCAAACAATCTTATATGGCCAACATTAGTACTTTAGTATTTTCACTGTCTATGCTCTACGTTCCACGGTGGCCTTTAGACTGTTTTATATGACTGCAGGTTTGTGAGATAAGTTTTGTGATAATCTAACACCTGAATACTTGGGTTGTAGAATTCAGAATCAATACCATCCTGGTAAAACAACCAGAGATCACATGTAAACTATCACAATTAACATATGCTAGAAGGCTTTTAGGCTGGTTCAAGCGATAGTGTCACATTCATTCAATGAAGACAATAACATGGAATGCTAACAAAGGGGGGACAAATGGCAGTGCCTGTTTCATCTATGCAAACACAATGGGCTTTGTATTCCACTGTCTGGGTAGCAGAGATAGAGCACAAGATGAGCAGCTTAGTACGATTTCTTTAGCTGTGCTATTATTTATTGGCCACCAAATAATACAACACTTGCCGCTGTCATACACAGACTATTGGAACTAAAAAACACATTTTCACTGATTCAGAAACAGAGCAGCACAAGACAATGGACTCACCACTGCTCCCCAAGTACCAGTTGGTTTCTCCGTACGTCCTATTCCATAACAAGGCCCCGACAGAGCTGACCAGCGCCATGACCAGCAGGATGCAGAACAAAACCAAGATCTGTATGTTGGTCACTTTCTCTACATTGGATCTCTTCAGAGGTGCTTTGGTGGAATTCTTATGAAGAAAAATGCAGTTTACATCAGTATATATTTTAACTTTTTTATTATAATCTAAAAAAAGGGAAATTCAAGGCAACAAATGAGACCAGCTGGTGATTTACTAAAGTATTTCAGCACACTGCAACTCTGCTTAATCAGAAATGTCATCCAATTTACCATGAAGGCCCATGTACACCTTCCCAGTACGGTGCAGTAATGCATGCATTAATGTACATATTACCAAAATGGAAGTGACGTGCATTAGCACACCATTCATTTTCAATGGCACTCTAATGCACCCCTGACTTGCATGCATTGAAGTGCACCACAGCACACAGTAGAGCATTACTAAATATTATGGTGTGCTGCATAGGTGGAGATTGCCCCACACTCATTGTATTGTCCATTCAGGGGCATTGGCAGTCCTTTCATTTAAATGGACTGCCCTAACACAATGCACATTAACAGCAACATAATGCACCACGCCACCACCAACAGCAATGTGTGAATGGGCTCTGAAGCAGTAAGAGAAGAGGTATCTGTGTCCTGTAACAACATAGTGGCTGGTGGGAGGAACCACAGCATGCAGCAGGGAACTAAGAATCTGATATCTATGGACATTTCATACATACTTATTTATTTATATTTCTGTTGAACAATTAAAGCAGCAAAGTCTCCATGGCATTACCTGCATGAGCTTGGTGTCATGCCCTGTGTACACAACAATCCCCAGAACCCACTGAGTGTTCCTGATCTGGGCCCCTCTTAACAAGATTTGGTCGGGTCCAAGGGCAACTGGGCTAGAAGAAAGAACATTAGCAGTGATCAAACTGTGTACCCCACAATAAAAACAACAGTACAGACGTAATACCAAATGCCTTCTGAGTCTGACATAAACTGCTCTGGCACCATTTTGTAAGGAGCTTCCTTTGAAGAAAGTGACAAGAGAACAACTCTGCCCAGTCACCCCTATACTGAGCAGTCACAAAATCCTGAACAGACCTGCTGCTTTCAAGTCGTAGGTTTCCAGTGAAATCATACAGATGGCGATTTGGCCCTTCACACTCGATCCTTCCCGTCATCTTTACCAGGTCTTCAAGGGATTGTAGAGTTGATGTGGCTGGTAAACCCTGAGACCAAATTAGCAAAATGTAAATGTGCAATGTCATTAAAACATTCACTCCCGTAAGCATTTTTTCAGGCCAATTATTTATTATAATTACTAAATAATGACAAAGTACAATTAATCAAAAGCAACCAATTAGTAAAACTATTAGTGACTTCCATAAAATGAAATCTGACTCACTGCTATGGGCTTTTGAACACCACTGTATATGTAAAGGATAATAACACTTTCACTGCAGATGGTTTATGTTCCCTTGTCCCTGCAGCTTTTGCAAGACAGTACATTGGATGCAGCACCTAACTTGTTGAGTTTTTGTATGGAAGACCTCGGGCTGCAGACCACCATGGGTGTGTATAGCCTAATGTAGTGCTGAGGAAGCCCTTGAATGGGCAACCAACCTACTATGTTTCATGAACTTGCTCTAGTGGTGGTCAGATCTCTGTATATTAATGTGTACAAGACAATGAATGCCTCCATAGTTACATAGTTAGTCAGGTTGAAAAAAGACGCATGTCAATCGAGTTCAACCAATTTTCTCCAATTTACTATTTTTGTAGTTTCTTGTGGATATTCACCATCCTTGTAATACAAACGGGTGAATTATTCAGTGTCACTACCTGCAAGTATTTGTGTGCACTACATTTACTGGTGGGCCTGAAGAACATACCTCCTTTTGCCCCTATATTGACACGGCCCTGGAGCCCTGACACCAAGAAAAAACTTATTAGATATGGTAGAATATGTAGAAATACAAAATTATCCTTTAAAAACTGGGCAGCCAAGTAAAATCATGTCAATGTGCTTTATGTGCTCTGGCATGCCTTAGCAGAAAAAGGAAACACTGTCACTTTCCCTTCACTAAGCCTGTTAAGATATGGGGAAAGCTGCAGATATATTTGTTGGCGTTTACTGAATTGGCGCTAGTTTCAGGCACTGGCTCAGAATCCTGTTTTCTGGGGATTTGGAATCAGCAAAAGAGTTGACTGTTTTGCTGCCAGAGAAGCCAAAGTAGTATAATCCAAGGATTATATTCTAAATTCTTCCAGCTACACATGTTATTGGCAGGTGATGGCAAGGTAAAACTGAGTGGAATAAAAGAAATGGTCAAATGCATTTGCAAAAGAAATGAGAGCTGGCTGAGGCAAAAGTCTTAGGTGTCAAATTCCTAGTTAATATATCAATAGCGACAACTCCTAATCCTCTCATCTGATGCCTATGCGATGATATATTTTGTACCATTGACATTTTGACCTTGTTCACACAGCATTCAGTTTATAAAGCAATATTTCGGTAAACTTTAAGTCAATTGAAAAAAAATCCCTTTACTTTCATATTAATGACAACTGTAAACCTCTGAATTTACACTCTCTTTTCCAATGACAATAGGTACCAAGACACAGGGCAAAGGCGGGTCTCCCCAATGGGGCCACAGACAAAATTTAAGACCTGATAGGGTTATCATTTTTTCCCATTCTATTCAAAACAAAACGTTTTTGCTTTTCTCTTATTAGAACAGTAGGACTGATCACATTACAGCAAGCAGGTTCTCATACTTGGCGCTCAGTTTGAGAATGTTGTGAATGAAATGGCCAGCTTTAGTAAGGTTTTGCAATGAACCAAAAACTCGCACGACATATGGATAAAAATATGACCTGGAGGAGATATTCTTTCTACAAAAGTTGCATTTTTGTTCAAATCCAATTCAACCTTAATAACACTTTTTTGTTTTAAATCGTCCTGGACTTTTTAAAAAACAATGTAAGCTGGAACTGGGCTTTAAAGTGTACGGACTATGTCAAACTTGCGATCTTGTTCCATATGAGGCATAAGCACCCACCTGCTGTACGATCACTAAAATGTGCAGAGAGAACACTTACCTGCCTTGTATGTCGACCCTGTGTCAGCTGGAATAGCGAGATGCTGCTCTCTCTCTCTCTTGCTCTATCACTGTGAAAAATGCTGTAGAATGTAAGTCGCTGGCAAGAGAGCAGTACCTCACTCATCCAGCCAACAGGGGCATTACACATACAAGCAGGTGAGTGTGCTGCTGTCTCCTCCATAGAGATCCAGTGGCAGGATTGCAAGTTTGACATCAACACAATTCTAAAAAATAAAAAAAAACACTATTTCATCAAGTTGCAAATTCCTTCACAACCCTCCACATTTATTTGCAAACATGGATCGTATTAGTAATTAATTGTGTCAGCAGAACTGATATTAATGTGCAGGAAGAACATCTCCCACAGGCCCATCAAGAAACCTGTAAATTAAAGAAGCTGGAAGGGAGAGAAGTACTATAAACCTGCCTATATGTCACCTTTGTGTGTTCTGTAAGTTATATAGTTCTTTGGGGTCTATTCACGAAGCTGCCGAAGGATCTGGCCGTAGCTTCGGCCGATTCTTCGGCTAGCTTCGGCCCCTGGACCCCTTCGGTTCAATAGAACCGAAGTGGTGCTGTACGGCTATTCACAATAGCCCGTACAGCTCCCGATCATGGCCGAGAAATACCCTGGAGAATTGCGGGACTTGTACTTTTTATGCATATCTTGGGCTGATATGTTTGATATCTGTATATCTGTATCTTTGTGAAAATCTCAATAAACACCTATTGAACTAAAAAAAAAAAAAAACTAGCATTGTACCCACCCTCTGCTGCAGTTCCCCATCAGGTCTATCAGCAGAGGGCGGGTACAATGCTAGTTTACTATTGGCTATTGCAAATTGAAATAGCCAATAGTAACGTCCCAATGCTTTTCAATGGGAATTATTTTTTTTTCTATTCTGACCGTCAGAATAAAGAAAAAAAAAGACACATCAGTGTTTCTCTCCTGGGCGGCCGGGAGCGGGAGGCTCCCAGAGCGCCCGGGAGGGTTTATTTTTTTATTTTATTTTTTTACAGCAGCAGAGCCGCCGGACAATAGGAAACTATTGGGCGGAGCTAGCTGTCACTGCTAGCTCCGCACAATCATTTTCTATTTACTTTTTTTAACTTTTTTCACTCTTTTTCTGTTCTGCTCGGTACCTCTGAGGGACCAAGCAGAACAGCCGAGCCGAATGCCGCTCGGCGGCATTCAGCTATTCACTCACTGCTGTTCGGCATCTTTAAGAATAGCCCGAACAGCAGTGAGTAGCCTCACTTCACTTCGACTCACTTCACTTCAGATCGGTCATTCACTCGGCTGCCCTCGGCAGCTTAGTGAATAGACCCCTTTGTTTTAGATGGAAACTATAATGTACTGTGGTCAGTTTTATTTTAAATGTATTTTAATTTGATACATTTTACATCTGTAACTTAGTATACATATAAAATCTTTGTTTTGTATATAAACTATAATATGAGGTGCACCCATGACCCAGGATTCCCAAAGCACTATGGGTTTTCAAGAGAGAGCCTAACATAAGATGTTTCCTTGCAGACTCTCTCTCTCTGACTGAAATCTTGTATTGAGCTGTCAGAAGGAGGGGGGGGATAAATCACTGCTCCCAATCAATCACTTATATGTGTAAATTTCCGCTTCGCCACTTCAGTTCTGCAAACAGGCTTAAAAAAAAAAAAGCAGATAATGATTACCTGGAAAAACACGAGAAAAGGAGATCTTCCACCTACTGACTTTATATGACAATATAAAATCTGCATATTATAATTTTGTAATGCTGACCATAATGAATAATGAAAAAAAAATAAGTACAGTACTACTATACTTTCTCTTTAAAGCCCCTCTCAAGTCTGCTGCCTGCCACACATACCCTGTTTCCCTATACCCTTTTACCTAATCACTGCCAATCAAACTGTAAAAAAAAAAAGCCTACCTAAATGCCCCTTTTTACCCACCTAAATCCACACTTATGTGGCACTCTAGTTCTGAGTCCTCTCTCTTCCCCTGCATACAGCAGGTGGGGTTTATTGAAGTGTCCATGTCACTGCCTGCATGATGTGGACACTTCCTACTAGCTGTCTAGCAGTGGGGTCCTCTCAGGATCCAGAAGAGGAATCTCAGTTTTGATGTCAGCATAAGAGGACCATTGGGGACCAGTTGGCACAGACACATCCCCATCACTGGATTACCAGTCATCTATACCCAGACACAACAGTTTCCTTAAAAACTCTTAACCTTGGGTGAGTAACACTTTCCTTTCACAGGTATTTAAAAAAACATATGAAGGGTGAGAGGGGGTTATTTTTTGCCCAGGGATGAGCTTTATAGCTGAACCATGGACACAAATACTTTCATTTAATTATATTCCTCAGTCATCACAAAAGATTATTATATACATCAACTTTGTGTTCACCAAATGTCTTTCCAATACCGTGTGACGAAAAAAATCGCAAGTAGAATTTATTTATTCTACAGGGCCTCTGCTTTCAGAAAATATATTATTGTTTGGGGGTTTGAAGCTGTTTTCTAGCCACAAATTCAGATTTTATCATGTGTGTTCAAATAGTAAGAAATTGCTATTATTTTTATCTTCTATACATATAAACAATTTTTTTTATCTTCGTCCTTAAATTTGTTTTTAAAAAACGACAACTGCTGAAGGATATAGAGGTTACTTATGACTGCTTTCTTCTGGGTTGTGTATAAAACACTTTTATGTTTAGCACAGGCACATAACACCTGCTCAGTCCCGGTCTGCAAGAAAGATAAATGAGGGTCTGCTTTTGGATAACTTATTGGGTGATTATAGGGAGGCGCGCAGATATTGTTATAATTCTTTTATAACCTGGCAGGATACTTCAAGATTAATCATATGGAAAGGTGGAGCTGGCTTTGTAAATAACTTGTTACCATGGTGGATTTGAAATCTTATATCCCCAGAGGTGACATTCATCAAATTTGTCTGCTTTTTCTGTTTACTAGAATCCAGAAAAGTGGCACCGGGTATGATCGTGTAGTCTGCGTTTATCACTACTCCTGGGAATGAGAGCAAGCCTGTTTTTAAAGGAACCATACATATGATAACTGCAAATTCAACAGGTCCAAAAAATATGTAAACATACAGCAAGAGCTGGCAGCTCATTCTCGCCTATCACAATAACAAACATTAATGCCTGTGCATAGGTTTGCCATTTGTTGTATCTGCACTAGTACACATACTGTAACTGTATATGTTGTGCATTGATGTGTGTTGGCTTAAAAAAATTAATATCTGTTTTTTGACTCATCATCGTGCATAAAAGGCCAATTGATGGGACTAACAGTGCAAGTTAATGCAGCTGCTCACAGCAATAAAAAAAATGCAGAAGATTGAAGATGGGTAGGTGTCATGCCAACTTTTAATTGGTATTCCTCTACTACTCTAGTCAGTTAGGGTTTGATAATACTTTACACAGGGGTGCCCATTAGGTAGATTGTGATCTACCAGTATCTCCCAAAGATGATGCTGGTAGATCACGAAGGGTGTGAATGGCGGCCCCTTTATTCCATTTTGGTATATTTATTTCGCTGTGCACACATGATTACCTATTAGCCCGAGTCTGCTGAGCCAAGCTGCCTGACACCTTTCTGGTGGATACCGGTGGTTGAAGTGCTATGTATTACTTCAAAGAATATTAGTTTACACAGCCTGTTGCACTGCACTGTTTGCTAAATACAGCAAGATGAGCAAGGAGAGAGAGCGGGGAGAGACAGCCAGGAAAGAGAGAGAGGAGAGACAGCCAGGGAGAGAGCAAGGAGAGACAGCCAAGAGAGTGAAGAGAGACAACCAGGGCAGAAAATGAGGAATGGCCGCCAGGAGAGAGAGAGAGAGAGAGAGAGAGCAAGGGAAGACAGCCAGGAGGATGAGCAAGGAGAGACAGCTAGGAGAGAGAGCAAGGAGAGACAGCAAGGAGGATGAGCAAGGAGAGACAGCCAGGAAAGAGAAAGCAAGGGAGTTTGTTTTTCGTTGGTAGATCTCATGTAGCTCGTCATTTCAAAAGTTGATCTTAAAGGAGAACTATGAGCAGCTGCGGCGTCTCAGTATACCGCGAGCTACAGCTCGCGGTATACTGAGCCTAGGGTGAACTATGGGGAAAAGACTTAACCCCATAGTTCTCCTTTAACACAAATAATTGTGGGCACCCCTGCATACATGCATACACTGCATACATATTAGAACATGCGATTTTTCCCTCAAAGTGTGTTGTGTTTAGGCAGTTCACTGTGGATGGGCCCACAACATGCCTCAACACATGAAAAAAACAGATTCTGCACTATTGCTTGCAATGCAGCACACTGCAACATATAATGCATTCACATCTTTGTATAGTTTTGTATACTGCCCTGCCCATGTGCACCCTTTTTGCTAGTTTTAAATAGATCTAAATGAGATTTGGTGTAGAGATACACTGGAAGTCTTCAGCTGCCTTGTTTAAACTGTCCTTTACCCCTTTTACTAAAAATCCCAGCAGCATGCAGCTCTCCATGCTGAATTAAAAACATCTTACATTCATTGGTTAAACAAACCTATTGTTCATTTACTTACTAATAGAGTTCATCTACTTCCTGGTCCAGTTCTGGCACACATGATGTATTGTGCCAAAACGCTGCATCCTGGGAGGGTTACATCAGCAGAGCATTGCTGGGAAATCTCATCTCAGGGGAAGGCATTTTCCTCCCCTGAGATGATGTGCATGGTCACATGTCCTAGTCCCACATTTTCAGGAAGTAAAGGGAGAGCTAGTAACCTGCCCTTAGTAAACATGGCCACTGTCAGAAGACTGGGGAAGAAAAAAGAAGTAAGGTATGCAAAGAATACAAAGCCGGCAATTATCTAGAAGTATGTGTTTGTAGATTGTCATTACTAAACTTTTCTAAAGGTGTGTTTCTTGAAGATATGGGTAAAGGCCCGCTTTAACCTCTTGCCGTCCGCCCGTTGAGAAAAAACGGACGGACGGCAGACTCACATTGGCGGGTTGCTGTCATCAGACAGGGTTTTTTTTTCTGCTCGCGCGCACCCCCTAGCGAGCACGCACGGGTAGAAAAAGCCCGCCCTTCTTTACAGCCGTTAGATATACATACAATCGGCGGCTCTATAGCCTGCCGATCGTATGGATGTGCTGTCTTTGCGCAACCCCCACTCGAGTGCTGCCGCTGCCCCCCCGACCCTCACCTTTAATTCCAGGATCCGCTAGATCCCATGTGCGGCCCATGGACCGGCTCGGGAGGGCGTCAGGAGGTAAGATGGGAGGGAGATCAGCATCTTCCTCCTTGCTGAACTCCCTCCGGGGTCCGAATGCAGAAGTGATGTGTATTACATCACTTCCGCATTCACCTGTCAGTCATCTGAGAAGAAGCTAATGTAGCAGATCTGTGCTACATGAGCTTCTTTTGGGGTCCCCAGGTGACATTAGGAGTCTTAGGACCCCTAATGTCTCCATAAAGAGGACCTGTCAGTGTACATGTGCTATCACATAGGGAGATTGTTATCCCCCTATGTAATAGCAATAACAATAAGTGTAAAATATAACATTAAACAAAGTTTAAAAAAATAAGTCACATATAAAAAAGTTGTTTTTCTTTAAACCCAAATTTTTAAGTCCCCCACCCCCACATATAAACGTAAATACGCATTTGATGCGCCAGCATGCGAAAATGTCAATTGCGCTACACATGTTACATATCGCCGTGAACGTCGGAGAGCAATCATTCTAGTGCCATCAATCTCTGATAACACTAAACGGATGAGCGGTAAAAGCTTTTAAAGGGTCGCCTATGGCCAATTTTGGGTAATGTTTTTTTAGGTTTCGCGTGTGCGCGCAATTGTAAGGCTTGACATGTTTGGTGTCTATTTACCCAACGTGAGTGTGCCAGGAAAACTTTTTGCTGTTTTACTGATTAAAGCCCATTCCATGTGCACCTTGCTGTAAAGCTGGTGACGAATTGATGAGTGTGTTTGTTATTTGTTTTGCTTGACTGATTTGGTGCAGTGATGCATGGGGGGTCTCAGCTGTCGTTGTGATGTGCGGGATCCCTTGTGCGTTCCTGTGCCTTTAAGGGAGGTTGGGCTTCCTCCTGACAAACCTGCACCCAATTTTATCTTCTGACCCATGTGCTCCAAGATGGTGACTCTCATAGTTTAGAGTTAGGACCGCACTATATAGTGGTGCCTTGGCGCAGCAGTGCGGCTTTCACATTTTCTGCAGAAGACGTGTATCCAAACCTCTGTTTTTAACCCTAGTGGTGAGACAAGGTTTTTTTACACGCTAGCTTGTGAGTGTGCCAGGACAACGTTTTGCTATTTACCCAACATGACCCCGTCTCTTATATTTTAGCAAACAATTGGGTAATAATACATATAAAGCCCTATCTGTCCCGAAAAAATGGTATAAAATTCCTTTCAGTACAGCGTTGCATGACGGAATAAAGGTCAGTCAAAGGACTGCAGCGCTGAACACTGAAAAATGGCCTGGCCAGGAAGGGGGTCTAAACACCTGGTCTTGAAGTGGTTAATATAGGGGAAAGTTTTTTTTTTAATTTTCGGTAATTTTTCCTTAATATAGTAAAAAATAAAAACCCCAGTGGTGATTAAATACCCCCAATATAAAGCCCTATCTGTCCCGAAAAAATGGTATAAAATTCCTTTCAGTACAGCGTTGCATGACGGAATAAAGGGCAGTCAAAGTACCGCAGCGCTGAATACTGAAAAATGGCCTCGCCAGGAAGGGGGTTTAACACAGCGGACTTCAAGTGGTTAAGGTAATTTCTGGGCTTCTGATGTGTAGCTTTCAGCAGTTAGGGACTACACTGATCAGATGTGCTTTGATTTAGCAGTTTAGTTAAACAGATTTGTTTGTTTTTGTTGATGGCTAGGCTGAAAGTGTGCCGGGGACCCCTTTTGTCCGCCCATGTGCACATTTTGGCTAGTTTTATACAGATCTGAGCAGCTGCCATATTTGTGGGGGTGTGCTAAAGCAGCTTTGGGGGTGCCTTCTACATTCCTCAGGGGTGCCTCAAAATCAGCACCATGGAAATGGATGATGCTAATGCAGGAAGGGTGGAATTCATTCAGTTCTCTTCCATCCAGGCCTGTCCCTCCTCCCACCCTCCTGGTAGAAAAAGGGTATTCTAATGTGAAGGAGGGCTTTTGATGTAAAAGAGGGGGACTCTGATGTGAAAGGGGGGCTACTGATTTGGGAGAAGACTTTGAAGTGAAGGGGGAGCTACTCCAGTAGCTTTGACTACTGAGCTTGAAGGGTCTGTTTGCAGTGAAGGTCAGAGGCAGAAGAGGGTTTTATGAGATGATGTGAATGGTCGTCAATGGAGTAAAAAGCTCCTTAGCGTCTTTACCTTCTTCATCTTGTAATCTTACCAATCATTACGCATTGATTGGTAAGATTACAAGATGAAGAAGGTAAAGAGTCAAGCTAGACAGGTCAGGTGGGTGAAAGGGCAAGGGCAAAGGATTGGAAGAGAGCAGAGAGGGAAGAGAAACAGAATTGAAGAAAATGCATTTATTGTACCTGACGGATTTTTAAATTAGTTTCACCATCGAGATTGGATGTTTCAATGTAACACATTGCTTGTGGCTCGCTGTGGACAAAACAAAACAGTGTCAGTAGGAAATGTGTAAATAGACACGCAACAACAGTTCTTTTCAATTTACAAATGTATGTTTTGGATTAAAAAAGAAAATTTGGGGAAGATTTTGGCAGTAGCACTGTTATATGGGTGCTGGTTACTAAGCAAATTTGTATGGTTATGTTTGTGTACTACTACCTCCTGCCCCCCCAACTTTCATTGTATAAGACTCATCCCTTCCCCCTGCAATCGGAGACGGCCTTTGTAAAACAAAGCTGTTAATTTTTCCTTTAGACAGTAAACATAAAAATTAAATTCCTAATTGTTCAAAGGTATAAAAAGAAGAATGTTCATCTAGGGATTTATCTAAATTTGGAGACAGTAAAGAATTAACTTTATATTCTAAAATAAAATTGTATAGACAATGGTTATTTTTCTCTATGGTAGATCCTGTGCAGGTAGTTTGTTAAGTGCAAAACAATAATGTATGCCAATGTCACAATGGTTCTATAAAACTACTGTGCACTGTAACCAGATCTTCCAACCATCATCTGATGTCTATGGCAAGTCTAAGGGTGGAAATAAAGCTCCCAGCTGACATGATGCCCAGGGGAGTTTGAACCATTTGGAGCTACCTGTGACCACAGATGGACATTTGTTTGTGTACATATTCTTAATAAGCATTAAATGAAATTTAAAGCAAGTCCTCACTGATCTCTGTAGTTGCAGGCACCGTGGAGCAATCTGTCCTCACTACAGAAGCACTTTAGTAGTTCAAGTTTTTCTCTCCAGCAGCACAGCTCCCCCAATCCAGAACTCCTGCTCTGTGTTTACAGAGATTAGAAGGATAGAAAGCTGAGTTACTTCACAACTTCAGGGCCTCTGCTGTGACTTTTGAGGATGAATTGCTCCACAGCACATTTGCTGATTATTAACTATTTTAGCTCTTTTTCCCATAGAACCTTGGCCCAGAGTAGTTTTTACATCTTGTAATGGGAGAATTGATTTGGGGAGAACTTTGCAATAATGTATAATAACAAAGTAATATATACATCATTTTTGGGACAAATAAGGCTTTCTTTTAGCAATACTGTATTGCATTTCTTAATTCTATGCAATATATAGACAAAAGAAAAAGAACAAACCCAAAAAATGTGTGGGAGGGGGGGTGGTTTGACACTTTGAAAATAGGTTGCGTTACTGTAGATAAAAAAATTCACTTTTTATTGTATAATTTTTCCATTTAAAAATTACAATAAAATGAAATGTCTGGTACAAAGCACGGCAGGTATTTCCAAATTTTTTTTTTTTATATATATATATTTGCACAATTTTAAATGCAACACTAAAACAATTAGCAAACAAAACACATGGAAAGTTTAAAAATGTATTGTAAAACATTAAAAATTAAAAAATTAAATAGCTACGGGGAGAAGGGATGAGGAAGTTAATTAGTACTGATTAGGGTTAACTAAAGGTTAGTAAGAGTTAAATAGGAACACATTTTATTTTTTATTTTGTAGGTCATCGCTTTCATCTACATTTGAAAGTAACAGTAAATACAATCTAACAATATTTGACATTATGACATTTGCAGACAGTATCTACAAGAGGAGAAAGATGAGGCAAAGAACACAGAAGGGGCTGCAGCTGACAGCTGGGATTTGCTGGCTGTAGTGTCTGGGGAGTGATTTAAGGAGACAAGGAACAGGGAATAGGAGATGCACCCTAGGAACATTGTTGAGGTTTTTTAGGGTATATCTCCTATGCCTGTGGTCCAGAAGTGGTTAAGAATATGTAAATACTTAAATGTCCATAGCCTGGCCACATGGTAATTTTAACGGGTGATAAGGTGCTTATGACTATTGGAAGTGCCCACTAATGCTCACAGAGATTTCCTCTACCAAGTACTATCCATAAACTATCTTGTCTTGCCAAGTGGCTTCCACGGGAATAGTCAATGAACTGTTGAAAATGAAATATTTCATTGATACAATATATACAATATAGATATAATATATTCAAATATACACTAATCTATTAATTTCCAAATGTTAACAAACTAAATGTGACTATTTCCCACTGGGCACATTGAAACTTCAAGTGTTGTTTACCAGGGTAACTAATTATGTGCATCACTGTAGATTATGAGTTTTACAAGACAATTGGAAAAGGGAAATTCCATTTATTAAGCACCACGGGCTGATTTATCAAAACAAAAGAAAGGAGAGGTCTCTGTGTAAATAGAGGGGCTACATTTTTTAAAAAAATCATTTTTCCAGGCTGCTCAAAAGAATCAGCGCTGATTGGATAATATGAAGAATAAAAATGTTAATTTTCTCTAGTTGTCATAAATCTGGCCCAGGTACCCAGGTTTTTCACACAAGCATAGATTGGCCCATGTCATGCAGGGTAAAGGAAGAAGGAGAATGAAAACACCCAATGACCTAAAAAAGAAACACAGATAACAGGTAAAACATTGAGGGATGGTGCCAACACAATCCTCCTTCCAAGGAGACATGCAACAGCAAAACAAATACTGTATTTATGTATGATGACGAAGTTAGACGATATACAATATCCATAAGGACTCTTTAGACTTGTTTCCAATTAAATGTATTTCAAGTAGAAATCCCATTTATTCCTATTTGCTTGGTTCACATCTGTGCACTGATCTTTAAAGTTGACCTCTAGGCAGATGTAAAAGACATAAATGAATGCAGCTCTGTAATCATCGATGCATTATTTCTTTATTTTTTAGATGCCAGAGTGAAAGTACTGAATTCGACCTGGTATCAGCCTCTTCTAAGCTGTGTACAGCAAAGTTGGGAGTGTGAGAGGAAGAAGCAGCACAAGGAGCCAATCAGTTTATGTGCTGACAAACCACATGCTGATAGGAGGAGAAATCAGAAGCAGAGTGACAGAAAGATGAGGTCATCATTGCTCTACTTCTCCTTTTACTGTCCAGTCACAGACTAGGGCGGGTCCCAGACAGCCAGGGATCAGAGGAAGTGGGTGGCCATTCAGCACAAAAAAGGAATGCAGGGAAAATGTAGTTTTGTTATTTTATTTTTTAATGGGTTATTTATTTCTTGCTTGTTATTTTTGGCGGAAGTTCCGCTTTAAAGTGACACTAAAGGAGTTAAATCTTAATAATTAATTCAAGTACCTTAAATATTAACAAAAATGTATCTTATTCGTGTATCACTCGGCTGTAGATCCTCAAATCATCTCCGAATTGGTGCTGACACTGTCCTTCCTTCTGGAGGGTGGCTACTTTTGTTCCCCATGGTCCCTGTGTGTGTTGTAAAGTACCCACCACTTCAAGCTCACTCCCATGATGGACTACAAATATAGTTGCTCTATGATGGAGAAATACAAAGAATACTCCCACTCTCCCACAACTTAAAGAAGACATTTGGGCATACACATTCTTAACCCTTGCAGGGGTTAAGTGCTCGTTTTCACCTAGAGTGAGGGGGAAAAAAACAGTCATAATCACCTGAACCTCGCAGTCAGCTGGCTGTTAGATGGGTTTCTTTAGCCTGTTTCCTCCTCTCCAGTGATGGTATGTCCCTCGTATCTTCATATCCTATAAATTGTATAGGATGTGATGACTTACAGGACATTAGAACAGTGCTGTGCAGGGGGAAGAGGCAGCAGGGACTGGTTTAACGGCCAGCCAGCTGTGAGGTTCAGGTGAGTATAACTTTTTCATTTTTGTCACTCGATGAAAATGAGCACTTAACCCATGCTGTCCGGGGGTAGCCCACTGCAAGGGTTAAGAATATATATGCCCATTCTTTAAGGAGATCTTTTAAAAAAACACACACAGAGAACTGACCAAATGTGTTATTTCAGGGACCTATTAAAGCTGGACTCCAGGCAGATATAAAGGATACAAATCAATACAACAAGGCATTCAGTAATAAATCATTACTACCTGCCCTGCAAGGGTTAAGTGCTTGTTTTTGCCTCGAAAATTTGACTTTAACTGTAAGCAGTGTTATCCACCTGGCTGTGCAGTTGGCATGGCTGTGTAAATCTCAGAATTGAATGGACAGACACACAAATCCTCTAGCATGTAAAACAGTCCCCTTTATTGGACCTACTGTGTGTGGTAGGATGTTAGTTGAATCCCTGAGACAGGATTTATGAGAATGAATGGATATAAACGCAGCAAGTGTTTGAGATTATTGCAGGAACCTTTGACTTGTTACTTGCAGTTCTGATATATTCCCTAACTCAACCAGGAGCAAATGTAGTTTACTATGAAATGGATCTGTCTTTAGGCACCTTTTCATGAACAAGTTAAAATATTTTCTGATTCTGCAATCTCAACCTATCAAGATTGGATTGTTGTTCACCCCAGTGCAATCACACTGCACTAAATTAAGGCTGTTAATTGGATTTTAAAAAGTACCCTAGGGAAGCAGTTTAGTGGCACTGCTGAATGTGTAATGCAGAATAATAATAGTAACTTGCAGTAACATCTATGAAGACACTATAGGCACGCCAGGATGAGCTGCATGGCTTCCTCCATAACAGCACAAATGTACACAAAACAATCACAGCAGATACAACCACATCAGGCAAACAGGCAAATTATTTTGCATTGTGACTATTTCAATATTCATGAAGACATTTTGTATTGTCATGCATTGCTATACTGCAATTCTATGTATTGTAGGATTACAAGCATTGTGTATTATTTTGTTCCATAAAGAGATCATTCGGGCTCCTAATAATCAACTGTGTGTAGATAGCTTCTGGTGATCATTTTCTGGCACAGTGTAAAGGTGGCCATACACTTTACAACCATCGCAAGACCTTAGTCTTGCGATGGTTGTAAAGTAATTAAAAAAACGTACGATCTGCCCATCTTGGACAGGCAGATCGTACTTGCAATCATCGCGAGCCCGCCCCGCTGAGGGGCGGGCTTCCGATGACTGCAATGCTGAATGGGCAGTGTGCGCGTGCGCACACAGGCCCGTTCGGCATTTGTCTCCCGAGCATGCCACAAACCAGCCGAAAATCGTAAGATTTTAGGCTGGTTTTTCGAACATGTTCCTTAGACAAAAGACGTGCGACCGTACAGTTAAAACGCCTTCCGTACACTTTGCGATTATCGTACGATCGCGGGATTTCCCGCGTGTATGGGCACCTTTACCCAGTCTCGATAAGCCGCTGAAAACACACAGGCTGAACTGCTGGACCTAACTGAGGGGCGGGCTTCCGATGACCGCAATGCTGAACGGGAAGTGTGCGCGTGCTCATAGCGGCCCGTTTGGCATTTGTCTCCCGAGCATCATTCAGACCATCCGAAAATCGTCTTCGACGGAAGACGTGCGACCGTACAGTAGAAACGGTCGCACGCCTGCCATACACTGCACGATTCTCGTACGATCGCAGAATTTCCCACGATTCTCGTACGAGAATCGTGCAGTGTATGGGCACCTTATGTGTGCCTTAACATGCAATGCAGATAGCAAGTGTGATCTGTATTAGTGAAAGATTGTTAATTGGCTGCCTTAGGTTATTGAACTTTAGCTGCACTAAACTATTGCCAACAACTGCAATGTTCACCGAGATACAGATATCTGCACAGCTAATTGGGGCAAATGTGTAATTACTGCACTTGTCAACTATTTTACATTCTTGGTACAAACAAACAGGCTGCACTTCTGCTGTTTTTTTTTTTCTTTAATATCCAACAATCTTTATTGCAAGTAATGCAAACTCACAATGTCAGACTGTGGTACTTACCCCCAGACCCTCGCCTACTGCTCTGACTCTTCTCTCTCCAAGTCGTGATTAAGCCCCTATTAGGGAGATACAGGTAGAAGGAATAGGAGAAGGTCTGGAGGTGAGCCATGTGCCACTGTCTGGCATTGTAAGTTTACATTAATTGCAGTAAAGCTTGTTGAATATCATGAAAAAATTGCAGACGTGCAGCCTGTTTATTTGTATCTGGATATTGTGGGAAGGAAGCGGATCACAGTAGGTAAGCACCCGTGGCTGGAGGATGATCAGTAAAAGGTGCCCATACACCTTATGATTATCGTACGATAATCGTATGCGATCGACTTTTCGTACCACAATCGTAAGGTGTATGTTTAGTGCCCGGCCGACAGTACTGTACAAATCGTACGACTTTTGACGTTCAAGCATGTTTGAAAACTTTGGTCGATTGTACAATTTTCGCATGGTTGGTGGCGTTTCCGTCCGTCAAAAGTCGTACGATTAACACTGCTCATGCGCAAGCGAAAATAAGTGCGGTCGATTACCGCAATTCGTCCAGGTGGGGTTTTTTTAACTACCGCTGATTGAACCTTGCGATAATCGGGGCAGGATGGGGCCGCCGTACGACAATCGTACGACGGTTCGATCATCGAACGGAAAGTTTCGTCCGATAATCGTAAGGTGTATGGGTGGCTTTAGTCAGCTTGAAACAGTAATATCTTTATGTTCATTTCAAATACCGGTAATTGTAATCATTTTCAAATGATTTTCTGTTGACAAATGAAAGATGCAATCTGATTGGTTGCTCTCTGTAAAATGTGGCAAAAACCTAATTTAGATTGGTACCACTGAGCACAATGATCACAATAAGCGATGTACAAGAAATGTACAAGGGAAATTAAATAATAACACATGCTTCATACACAGCTGAATAATAACTATACCTAGTCCTATTCTTTAAATGCGTGACAGATTTGTAATTTTTCAAATAACAGTAAATTTTAACATTTTGGAACCATCATTTGGAAAGCTAGACACAATGCAAAATTAAATTTGAATCAGCTTAGCAAAGAGAGAAATGACACCCAAATCAAGAATCATCTGACCTGGAAGATAAAATGATCATATCGGCTGGCATATGCTGGCCATTGGTCACCTTCACAATGTCTCCCACTGCCACCTGTCCATCCAGGGGCAGCCAAGCAGCAGGCAGGAGAAAAAGAGAGCACACAATGTCTGTCCTTAATCATCACTCACATTGTCATCAGCCCTTCCGAGGAGCAAAAGCAAAGTATAATAAAATACACACATCTCATACTATAGCATAATAAAAACCTAAAACATAGTTGTAACAGTTTACAAATCTTTAATATTTAATGGGGATTTAACAATAGAAATGTTTATTTGACAGAGATCTTTCTGTTTAGAGGTTGCCCATCTCCCATCACTACCACTGTTACCATTGTTACTCACAGTGCATCCTTGATTGCTGTCCACCATTATAATACAAATGCTTCTTTATTCAGTTATGTTACAATACCAGATTTCACCAACAGGTAGCGCTGTATATGAAATCTGAAAATACAGCTGCTGGTAAATCCTAATTATTGAGGGAGGGGGGAGCCCTTCTATGTTACTACACAAAGGAGCAACTAATACATAGGTTTGTTTTGGTTTTTTAAACCTTCTTTAAAGCAACATGGCAGTTTTGTACTTTTTTACCTTAAAGGAGAACTATGGGGTTAAGGCTTTTCCCCATAGTTCTCCTTAGGGTAACGGGAGGACACAAACTAGCGTCCTCCCGTCACCCTCAGCTCAGTATACCGCGAGCTACTGCTCGCGGTATACTGAGACGCCGCAGCTGATCCCGACAATTATGAGAGCCGTGACAGGATCGAGAGGTGAGCGAACGCCGGTATGTGTTCGCTCACCTCCCGATCTACTGAGCCGACCTGTGACAGTCCCATTGTCACAGGTTGGCTCATATTATGAGGCTGAGTGAAAAGCACTCACCTCATAATTCTCCTTTAAAGCTCATTTACTGCTTCTTAAGAATATGTAGAGTTTATTGTCACAGGTTGGCTAGAACTATGAGGTGAGTGAAAAGCACTCACCTCATAGTTCTTCTTTAACAGATGCTTGCACTGTACAACTACACTGCCTGGCCAAAAACAAAGTCACACACTCTAATATTTAGTTAGACCACCTTTAGCTTTGGTTTTGCCATGCATTCCCTGTGACATCGTTTCGATAAGCTTATGCAATGTCACAACATTTGTTTGCATCCAAAGTTACATTCATTTTTACGAAGATCTTGTAGTGATGATGGAATGAGAGTCGGACCACTGGGTGAAGTCTTCTCCAGCACAACCCAAAGATTCTCAATGTGGTTATGCTCTGTGGTGGCCAATCCACATGTGAAAATCATGTCTCCTGCTCCCTGAACCGCTCTTTCACAGTTTGAGCTCTATGTATCCTGGCATTGTCATCCTGGAATATGCCCAATGTGCCATCAGGAAAGAGAAAATACACTGATGGAAAAACTTGTTCGTTCAGTATACTCAGCTAGGCAGCTGACCTCATTTTTGGGGACATAACGTTGCAGAACCTAGACCTATTATCCAATAGAAAGCTCTTACCTATTTTCTTAGCTAAATCCAGGTGGTGACTTTTTTGCCCAGGCAGTGTATAATGCAGTTGAACACTAAACAAATATGTACACCTTCAGTGTTCCCCAGAGTACTTTGTGACTCCACCCCTTCCATAAATCTAACTCAAAATGGTAACTCTTACGAGTGGCTCTTTAATTATTCAGCAATTCCACATACTGGGAATCCACTAGTGAAACTTTACAGTGCAATTGGGTCTTTGTAATGACCGTCGAAATTAAACAGAACTGGAGGTTTCGGTGGAAACATCTTGTTACAAAGAGATATAAGAAGCAAGCAGAAGGTTCAACTTGACAGCAGCCATAAAGAAGTAGAATATTGGCTCTGGGTGGAGTTGCCCATTAACTCGCACCCTCCTCAAAACCATGTACATTATATGGCCAAATGTTTGTGGACATCTGACAATCATGCCTATATGAGCTTGTTGGGCATCCCATTCCAAAACCATGGGCATTAATATGAAGCTGGCCTTCCACAGGATTTTGGAGCGTTTCTGCAGAAACTTGTGCCCGTTCAGTCAAATGAACATTTGTGAGGTCAGGTACTGATGCTGAAAGAGAAGGCCTGGCTTGCAATCAACATGTGCATTCAGATGTTCAATAGAGTTCAGGTCAGAGCTCTGTATAGGCTGTGTATTCTTGTAAAATAATATCTTTATAGACCTGGCTTTTATGGTGGAACAGAAAAAGGATCTTCCCCAAGCTGCTACCAGAAGGCTAGGAACACAATTGTCTAAAATGTCTTTGTAAGCAGTAGCATAACAAGTACCCATCACTGAAAACACCAGAACTCAATTATTTGGAGTGTTGTCCGCATACATTTGGCTATATAGTGTATTAGCTCCACACAGTCTTTTCTTTAAACACATTACAGTATTTTTATTCTTCTGCTTTGACAGTAGAGATGAATTAGGATCATTATTTCACTGATCCGTGAATTGTGTGTGTACTCTTGACAAAGACAAACACTTTATCAAGCTGCTTCTGCCGCACATTCTGCTTCCCAGAACCAAAGAAAACTGACGGCTCTTCTAAAGTATCTGCCGATATCTATCACCAAGAAAACCGCAGTGTACATACCTCCTTCCATATTAAATTCTGCCATGTCCCACCTCTCAGCACTGCAGGAGAAATAAAGAAAAACTGTGTCAGCTTACACAACTAAACAAAGCTAAAATAACTGTCAACTGAATAATTGCAAAATAAAATAAAAACTGCCAGTCACAAAGGTAACTGTATATAAAACACAAGGATGAGTCTGTATCTAGAATGGCAAAATCAAACATGTTAATATTTTAGGGAAAAAAAACTTATAGCCCTTTAAGTAAAAAAGTGTTATATTGCACCTTTCACTTACCTCCCCTACCATGTTAAAGCTCGGAAGGTCTGAATTGGGGACAAATGCCCAGCTCCCATGAGACGGCGGAAGAGGTGGGTGTGGTGCTATTGCGCGGCAATGAGGCCACCCTCAGGGGTGGGGGTAGCAGTGCACAACAGTGACATCGCCCGCTGCAGACGGGGGGAACTCAAGCTAGAATCCAGCCCAGCTAATGGCAACCAGTGACATTACTGGTTGCCAGGAGCTGGGCAGGACGCCGGCCCAAACATCCCAGGTCACTAAGAGGTGGGCGGGGAGATGTGTATAGTCCTTAAACATCTCCCTACCTGGCTTTTAGCAACTTGGGACTAGAAAGGGGTTGGCCAGGCCCGGATTTCCCACAAGGCCACCGAGGCCCGGCCTCGGGGCGGCAGAGCGCAGAGGGGCGGCAGCGGTGACCTTGAATGCCACGCTGCCTGCCAGATCCCACCCCCCAATATGACCCAAAGAGGTGCCGCCTGAGGCAACAGCCTCATTAAAGGGACAGCCATGCCAGCTCCCAATGATGCAACTGCGGGCTCTCCCATTCTGCTCTAGGTAAACTATACTAATAGTACGATGTAATTGAAGAGGTGGCATACACACATAAAAATAAAAACAGTAATTGTTTGGCCAAGAATATTCGGACCAGCTCTTTTGAAAAAAGTCAGTTGATAAAAAGTATTTTATTGAATGGAGTGGTGTGCTTGCATTTGGCCAGATCATCTGGACTCTGAAAATTGAGCAGTTTATGGCCAGCTTAGATATTTGATTGTTCTTATACCTCTGGAGTTTTATGTTGCTGATATCTCTAAACCGGATTTCCTGGTCTGCTCTGGCCGTTGTGAGGGGCTCCTGTTCTTAATATTGGATGTTTTACTTATGAAGAATTGCACATAGGCACAGGAACATGCAAAGTTAGGCAAAAACACCCAAAACACCATGGTACAGAGTACCGTAAGTAATAATAGCAGGGAGCTGATGGAGTAGCCAAGACATATAAGCCATGATATCACTTTTGAGTGGACCAAGCCGATGGCTGCAGTCACTGTTCATGTTTTCTGGCAACACAGCGAGAAACTACAAATCCCATTATGTATCTACCTCTGGAAGTCATGCTTGCAACTGTCAGAGTGTTGCAATGCCTAATGGGATTTTGTATTTTCACCACAGCTGGTCCGAATGGCACCTACCCCTGCTGTAAATCACACTGTTCCCATTTATATGTATAGCTAAACAAATAATTGATTGATTGTCCATTGCCTTTAACCGGCTCAGCTAAGTGATTTCAGCAGTATGTTTAATCTCAGTATTCATCAGCATCATGCTTTGTAATGAGCCTGCGGCAAAGTGCCATTATTAATAGTGGAGTAAGTAATGTTGGTCACACTATATTTTTTAGAAATGTTCATTTGTGAGATCATTGAGACTAATGCAAACCATGTATAATGAAATGACATGCTCTGCACTTGTTTTCTAACATTTGTTACAGATGTGTAAACTGGCCGAGTAGAAACCTCTACACCGTGTTTTGTGGAACAACAAAATGCTGTATTATGAGTCTCATTATAAGCTCAGAGGGCCGGTCACATGAAGCTGACAAATGTCCCACTCATTTCTATGTAGCAGGACCACAGAGCTCATATAGGTTAAGTAATGCTGGAAACTTCAAACCAGGTTTCAGCATCAGACTCCCTCTGGCATTAACCGTAAAGCTGAACTCCAGGCAGAATACTGTACACAAATAAAATAGACATACATAAATATAGGAGTGCTGTATTACCTGCCAAAATATTTGTATTGCTGTCCATGCAGTCTTAAGATTTGTACAGCCCTGCACCATAGCACAGCCCTTTCTAGCAGGGCAGGGGACCTTTCACTTACAGGTCTCTTCCTCAGCCCACCCTGTAATTGGACAGTGAAGGGAGAATCATCACTGGTTAGATATTTTCTTTATCACTCTCTATCACTCTGCCATATTCCTTGCATTGCAGCACAGCTGACTGGCTTATTGTGCTGCTTTTCCCTCATCCTGTCAGAGCTCTGCTGTACATACTGCACAGTAGACTGCAACAGGCTAATCCAAGGTCATATTCACATATTTACACTGCTTGCATTTCTAAAACAAAATGCATTTTATAAAGTATTTATGATTACAAAGCTGCATTAATTTCTATCTTTCATACTGTATGTGCCTGGTGTTCCACTTTAAAGCATAAGTTTGGGTTGTTCTATGTTGCAGCACAAATCACATTAGCTGTCAGTGATGGTGTGTATCCCACCTCCTCCAGGCTGCTGCTTCGTGACAAAATCCATCCAGATACTCCCCAGAGTGACTATATTCTGGTGCCCTGGGGGGACCAGCGACTCACCCACCCTTTCCTGTCCCCTACTCCATTCATAGAACTAATATTATTATTGTTCAACAATGCAAGGCACTCTGTGAATGGGCAGAACAGATCCTGCATTCATCCGCTCCTCCTCCATTCACATTGTGGAATATTGAATGTACAGCTTCTGGCAGAAAGATCCAGCGTATATTCTGGTATTTTGATGCACCCGTCTGCATGAACCTTAATCATCGATTTTAGTTCATTGTAGCTTATTTTATAGTCATCTCAGCATTTATATATTCTGTATCAAACGTAATCTCTAATTTTGGAGTTAATATGGGTGTAATGTAACACAAAGGCTTCCTAAAGGAAACCTGTGCTGAAAGAAATATGTAAACTACTATTGCTAATCCCCTTTTGAACATACTAACTGCCTAGCTGTCTCTGGCTTCAATAACCTCCAAGTTACTGACTTACATAAAGCAAACTATGTCTTTTTTGCAATTAAAGCTTCATACCCGCCTGCACGTAAATGTCTTTTGACACTGGAGCTGTGGATTCTGAGCATGTGTCGGCACTAGGATGAATGAATTCCCGTGCACATGTGCAGGAGTTACAACATCTCTGCCAATTAAAACTCCCAAAGATGCCAAACTCAAGAGAATGTTGGTGGCAGGGAGATACTGTAGCTTGTGGACGTCACATTGCTGGAGGGCAGGTAGGTATAGGAGGATTTAGATCTGCTTTAAAATTACTCTTTCGCCCGCCCAAATTTTTCCAAATTAGATGTTCACTGCAAAGAAGTCATTTAATTCTCACCTATCTTGCAGCCTGTGCCACCGATCTCTGCATTAGAGAAGAAGAGAAAATGCCAGCTGAACATCCTGCAGAGAACCTGACAACCCCTTATTAGCTACTGAACTACGGTTTCCTGTAGTGAAGTAGGAGTCAGTGGGAGGAACCATAGGGACAGTAGGGCACAGTGAGTCCAACACTCCCAGTAGAGTCAGATTCTGCAGAATCTTCACCTGGAAGTTTCTCTTCGCTTTTTGCAGGGGTCGGAGGTGTAGGCTGCAGGAGAGGTGAGTATTCAATTGCATGGAACAGTTTATTTCGAACAATTATTTTAGCAGCAGACTCTCTTTAAAGTATAACTACAGGCACATTTACTTTTGGATAGAGTGTGGAAGGTTATATTCTCTACTGCATTCTACTGATGTCACTCCCTGTCGTGTCGTCAGGACATTAAGCGAAGGGAAATCACTTTAAGGCCTAGTCACATGTGCTTTAGATTCAGGCAGCAGAGAAGCATTTTTAAATCCCTCCTACTGCCTATTAACACACATGTGGAAATGTTTATTAGTGAGCGCACAGTGCACAAAACGTGTATGCTAGCATTGTGTTGCAGCACAGTAAAAGCACAAATAGCCCGCTATATGCTGACAGCGCAGAGCCACGCTGCGGCTGCGAAAGATCTCGACAATATTGTCTGGATCCACCCTGATGCCTGATTGACAGCTGGCACTGCCTCTCTAGAGCTGTTCCGGCCCCCTCCCTTGTACATCTCAGCACTGGAGGAATGGAGAGGGGAGGGCGGAATCCCTGCATGGAGAAGATCGGGAACTAAGCAGTATTTGATCGCTCAGATCCCGATCTGTAGAGCTGAAGTGTGAAAGCTGCTCTAATTATGGGAATTAGTATATTTCCCTCTACCCATAATTCTCCTTTAATGGTCCCCATAACTGGGGCATGACAGGGATGTGTCCATTGCCTAAATAAATTGTGCTAGAAGGTGTTCTTCTATCTCACTGGGGGGTATACATCCTTCTGACTTGCATTTGACATCCTTCTAAACTGCATCATGCTGCTTCAAGCTGCTTTTCCATTCCCGTTGACTTGTATGGAAAGAGAAGCAAAAGTCTGTTGACGCTAGTACTAATGAAGCATAAACACTGGGCAAGTAAAAGTGACTGAATATAACATGAAGACTCCCAACAATAGGAGAACATGACAACGATGGGCTTTCCTCCTCTCTTGATGAACAGAAAAAGCCACACAGTATGAAACCAGAGGGGAGATTTCACTGCTTCATCTCCAAGAAATATAAGAATGCAGCAGATAATTCAGCCCATCAATGTCCAGCTATAACTTAAAATCCTGTAGAGACTCTAGACAGGTATCAGTCAGTGACATTCTTTTAAGTAGTTGATGTGATATTAAGTCAAAATAATAGATAAGGGTTACAACAAAAGTAACACAAAACCAAAAAATAGAAACTCACCTATTGCTTTCTTTTTATTAACAGTATTGTCGGCTTTATGTCTTCTCTGCAAAAAGAAAACATAGCGATCAGTAATCAGACAGTTCAATATTGTGTATACAGTATAATTATATTTACATATTTTTCTCATTAAGAAAATAAAAGTGTGTGACAGCAAAGAGCAGATGTCTTATTCTATTGAACATGTTTAGCAAAAAGATGTAATACTACTTATCTGTCTGAGTGATTTCCTTAGTTCATATCCAAGCATTTATAGCCACCTGGGCAATTCAAATACATTATTCCAAGTAGCATGGTGTCATCAAATGTGTGAATGCAGATGTTGATTGTCCAAGGGATTTGACTGGAGGTGTGAAAAGTTGTGAGAACACACATGAACCGTTCACCCTCGAAGGAGTGGCTGAATAGAATGGTCTCTTCTAGCCAGTGAAGGGATTATAGTAGTGTTGCTGCCCCAAAAGCACTTTTCAAACCCTCCAGTGGTGACCGATAAAACTGATGTCCACACAGATGATACGAGGCTGATGAACTTTTATTGCAGAACTTTGGGAGAGAGTGTTAGGGCACAGGACTTCCAGGATAGTATAGACTCCAAAATGATAGAACAAAGCACTTGCAGCCTTCACAGATAGAGGACCTTTAAGCTGATTGCAGCAATCTGTGTCCTGAGCTCCTGGCTGTGTAGTACTTGATACAAAATCTACCAGTCTACTTCAGAATAAATCACCATGCTGCATTAGGAGGATCACGTCTCAGGCTCTCAATACCAGCTGACGTTTTTCTGTCATCTCCTTTATCAGCTTTGCTAATTGAGCCTCAGACCCAGACCACAGTTTGAGCACATGACTTCCCTTCCTAGGCAGCAGGCCTAGAAGGGTCAGACAATTCACAACACCCTCCCACAGGCAGGAGGCCCGGAGGAGCAAAATATTCTCACATGGTAAGCCCCGAATATTTTTGTCCCCCCCAGCATGCACCACTGGCCATAAGCTGCCTAGTAATTGGCTATAGAGACATACAGTAGATATTCATAATACACTAATATTGGTTGCTCTTCTCTGTGACAAGGTTACACCAGGCAGCCAACAGATGTAAACAACAGAGTACTTAGGAGAAACCAAATGAGTACAGGCTATCAAATCAGGATCAGACTGACTACATTATGACAGCTGCTAGATTTAAATAGTCACTCCTGTTTAAGGCAGGGTAGCTACACTTCTGACTAAAGTGATATTAAGAATGAAATGTTGTCAAGCTATTTCATATGTAAGTTGTAAGGTGGGGCCTTCATGGATCCGACTTGTTTTCCCAGCACATCCCACAGATGCTCGATTGGATTGAGATCTGGAGAATTTGGAGGCCAAGTCAACACCTCAAACTCATTGCTGTGTTTCATTCTTGAACCATTTTTGCAGTGTGGTGGGGCACATTATCCTGCTGAAAGAGGCCACTGTTATCAGGGAATACAGTTTCCATGAAGGGGTGCACTTGGTCCACAACAATGTTTAGGTAGGTGGTACATGTCAAAGTAACATCCACATAATGGCAGGATCCAAGCTTTCCCAGTGGAACATTCTGCCTCCGCTGGCTTGCCTTCTTCCCATAGTGCATCCTGGTGCCATCTCTTCACCAGGTAAGCGGCACACACCTGGCTATCCACATGATGTAAAAGAAGTTATGATTCATCAGACCAGACTACATTCTTCCATTGCTCCGTGGTCCAGTTCTGATGCCCACGTGCCCATTGTAGACACTTTTTGCGGTGGACATGGGTCAGCATGGTCAGCCTAACCAGCTACCCAGCCCCAGAAGAAACTAACTATGATCCACTGTGTGTTCAGACACCTCTCTATTGGAAACAGCATTAACTTTTTAAGCACTTAAAGTAGCATTAAAGTAGCTCTTCAATTTGATGGGTCTACATGGGTCAGCTTTCACTTTCCACGCGCATCAATGAGCTTTGGCCACCCATGACCTTGTCGCTGGTTCACCGGCTTTCCTTCCTTGGACCACAAGAGCTGCAGTTTTGGAGTTGGATCAACTTCAGAGACAAAATACTCACTTGCTGCCTCATATATTCCATCCACTTCAAGGTTCCTTAGTAACGCGATAATCAATCAGGTCTATTCACAAAAGGGTGAAGAGCTTGGAGAAGGCAGGAGAAGTGAACAATCTAGGCCAAAATAGCCGATTTGGAAATATTCTCCAATTCAGCTCACTTTCCAGTTCAGCTATGTTGTCCTAGATTGTTCCCTTCTCCTGCCTTCTCCAAACTCTTCACCCTTTTGTGAATAGACCCCAATGTGATTCACTTCACCTGTCAGTGGCCATAATGTTATGACTGATTGATATATATGTAAGCTATGTGAATTTGAGCACAGAAATCTCTCCGTATCTACTGCACAGTGTAGGTCAGTAACCAGATCTCAGTCTGTAGAGCTTTTCCATCTGTGACTATGTTTACCATATTGGCACTATATGTCAATTAATGTATACTAAAAGTTACATCACTGCTATGCACATGGCCAGCTTGAACGTGTAATACAATACTGTATATGTAACTATGAATCTCTACTTTCAAGCAAAGGCTTGCTTGAGTACAGGGAAGTACAGCAGTGTGCAAAGGGTTAGTTTAGAATTTTCATATTTATTTTATGCTCATAAATTCGTCTGCATGATGCTTCTGTTTTCCATTAAATTAACAAGGACAAGGACACACCATTCTGAACTTTTCCTGGTAACTGCATTGCAAGTAAGAGAATAAACTTGGCATATTCTGTCTGCTCAGCAATACGAGTCATTTACATAGTAGAAGCTTCAATCCGGACGCCATGCAGTCTGCCCAGGGAAAAAATTGCCACCATTAAAACGTAAAGACAATCAGATTTGTTTCATGTAGAGTCTTCTTTTCTTGTGCACGTGAAATACAATGTCAATTTTTTCTATATAATTCAAAGACCTTTTTCATTAAATGGAATTAGAAGGAAAACTATAAATTCTCTTTCTGAGATGCACAGAGGTGTCCTTACCTCCTTGCAGCAAACTCACTTCCTGTTGTTGCTTACAGCAGTTGCTTTCAAGCATTTTAATGTCAGTGCTTCCATTTTATTTTAATTCAGACTATTAGACCTCATTCATACGAGAAACGTCCGACACGTACAGCTCTGTGCTGCGCGCACGGCCTTATCGGGCAGCTCCAGGGAAAGACAGGTGCTGCGTGTGATTAGTACGCAGCCCCTTTCTTTCTCTATGGGCCTACGCGGCCCGTATGTCACCCTACGCTCACCCGCCCTGCACATCCGTGCGAGTGTCCGTACTCGTACGCTGACAGGATGAATCCTGTCTGCGTCCGAGTCAGGACACCCGCACAGACCTGCACTTGGGGTCAGCGTAGGGTGGCATACGGCCGCCTAGTCCCATAGAGAAAGACAGGGGCTGAGTACTAATCACACGTAGCACCTGTCCTTCCCGGGAGCTGCCCGATACGGCCGTGCACGCAGCGCGGAGCTGTACATGCTGGCCATTTCTAGTGTGAATGAGGCCTTAGGTTCATTTCATATGGGCAGCCAAAATCAGGTGCACCCATCAGTTTTTCATGCGGATCTGATAGGAAGCCCAATGTAACTATGGACACCCATTTACCCCAACTCTGTCTAGGTGGGAAAAAATGTAACAAAGTTTCATTTTGGCAGACCTGATCATAATAGATCGGAGGTAATGTGATGTAAATGCACACGTTTGCTTACATGCGGCTTCTCATAGACCTAACATGGGTCTGGTTAGGATGTCACAAATGTTCTGCTCTGATCAGCAAGGGATCTGTGCATGGATCCCCTGCTGATCAGAACGGATGACGCTCATGTAAAAGGGGCCTCATTTTGCAACATAATTTTTCTAAAATGCAGCTGCAGAATTGGATTTACAATCAGGCTAAGTAGGCCTATGCCTATAGGAAACAAATTTTAAAGGGCTGGTTTTCCCTGTCTCACAACTCAGAGGAACTAAAGCTATTGGATCAGAATAATAGCCAGGTATCTAGTATTTACGGTCAAGACTTGCAGCCTCCATACTTCTTCAGTACAGGTTTCCATTAATCACTGCTACCTATGGTGGACAGGTCCGATAATATTCGGCAAATAAACGTTTTGTCTGTACATCATTTTGGAACAAAGTCCCCTTGACAGTCATGGGACGTGCATGAAGGAACAGATTATAATTCCCAGAGTAATGATTGATGGAGGTAAAATGATCTACAAATTAATCCCGTTAAGTGCTGCCTCCTATTGAGACACATGAGAGCATCAAGTGCAAAAGCTTTTGGCAAATCAGAAATCTAATTAACAGATTACTGTACCTACAGCTGTGGCAATATTGTCCTCTTACCGTAAATATCACTACTCCCACTAAACAACAACATCCTCGGGTGCCAGCATGACAAATTAGGACCCATTTAAACACAATTAACTCATTTACTGAAGGGGGACTTGCTATGAATGTTGAAAGCTATTCCGGGAGGTCAGAGAAATTTCAATTTCAGTAACAACCATCATTTTCATAATATAAGATCGAGTTTTAAAGCTTAACTCCAGATGCAAAAACATTCATTTAACCACTTGAGTTCCTGGGCCTTTTTTCTCCCTAATTTTTACCAATGCAATGTTTACATCATTTCCCCATATTGTAGATTTACCCTAAAATATAATCAACCAAGTGTGTGCATTAGTGATTAGTTGGCACATTTCATCTAATGTAGCAGAATGCTAAAGCTCAAAGTGTGTTACTTTAGGAGAGCTTTATTTCCCTTTTGACACTTCATTGTGATTTACCCAGGGGAAAAAATGGTTTGCATAAACTGTTAGATAAGATTATGTTAGGTTGAAGAGGACACAAATTAGCACGACTTTTCACAAGTGATATTATGGTCTTACTGTGGACACTGCTCATTGATGTTGTTGTTGGCCTTTGCTGACAGTATGCAGGGCCACTTGCTGCCTTACAGTAGAATGTTGCCTACCCTTAGGCCTCATTCACACATGGAGCGACCTGTGGTTAGGGACCGATGATTGCTTAAGCTGTTTGCATCCAGGGGCAATCATCTGCCCTTTACCCAGGGCTGGACAAATCCCAGAAATTACCACTTTTCACAAGTCTGTGTCCACTAAAAATCTTAATGACATTGAGTTCACTTACGAGAGCATCTGATCCATGCACAGTGAATGGAAAATGTCATCCAGGTGATTCAACATCATTATTGCGACCTAAAGGTGCGCATACACCTGCCGATTATCGTACGATAATCGCGGGTGATCGCGCGATCGTACGATAATCGGCAGGTGTATGGAAGGCGTGCGACCATTTCTACTGTAGGTTCGCACGTTTTTTGTCTTCCGAGCGCGCTCGAAAACCCGCCGAAAATCGTACGATTTTCAGCGGGTTAGTGGCGTGCTCGGAAGACAAATGCCGAATGGGCTCGGTATTGGAATCATCGCAAGCCCTCCCCTCAGCAGGGAGGGTTTGCGATGATCGCAAGTACGATCTGCCTGTCCACGATGGGCAGATCGTATGAGATTTTAATTACCTTACAGCCATCGCACAACGAAAGTCGTGCGATGGTTGTAAGGTGTATGGCCAGCTTAAGGATTCTTTTTGGGAGGGAATAATTTTACTTATTAGGATATATAATCCTAATATATTGTGAGTGTATGTTTGTGTGTGCATGTTTATATATATATAAATAGCATTTTTTTATTTTTCTATTTTTAAACACTTTTTTATTTCACTTCATGAGGGGTGCTTATCAAGTGATTTACTGTTTTACAGAGAGGCTGGACAGAGCTACAACAACTCTTCCTGAGTCTCCGTACTGACAAAAAAGTGATGTAACGCCCCACATGATGTCACTAAACTCCCAAAATAAATACTTTGTGGAGCATAGCGTTGCTACAGCACCAGGGCTTTCCCTATAATGAGCCAGCCCGGGCTGTTGCCTCAGGTGGCTTTTCTTTGGGTCCCGTGGGACACACACACACACTGCTGCCTAGAGCTGAGTGGGATGCTCTGGCTGACGTCCCACCGAGCTCCTGGCAACCAGTGACGTCAGCGAGCTGGGTGTGATGCCAGCTGGAGCTAGAGGTAACATGCACCCCCTTCCCTTTAACATGCACAACCAGCAATCCCCTCCAACGTAAATCCCCAGCCCCCATCCCCCATCTGATAACATGTACCACCAACATTCTTTGCCCCTACTTCCCCCGACTACCTCAGGATGCAATCTGTAAAAGCATCAGAAACCCGAGAGTTGAATTTTTCCTTGGCTTGGTCCTGAATGCAAACTGCACACAGGTCCAGCCTTAACCCCCCACTAACAACTGCAGGAGCTGCTGATTCCCATGACCATTTTAAAATGGGCCTGGGACAAATAGCCACTATCCCAGCAGCATTTAAAATGGCGTCTGGGACTTAACTAATTAAATATATTCCGCAATAGCCACAAAAGCTATGAATTCCCTTTGTGTGCACCAAATGCTTTTGAAAACCTAGAAACCTAGATATTGCCTTGTAAAAGTAGTGGTGACATCATGACCTGGCAGTACAAAGTCTGTGCAGAGAGCAGAGCTGGGAGAGGGACTGAACAGGTCCAGCCACTACAGACTGCCTGCAAAAACTACAGGGATGCAGAGACAAGACCAGTCGCCTCGCACAAGGAGAGACAGCCGTCTTTATAACAAGCAACTCCTCTACACGTGCAAAGTTTTCATACTGGATTACTGCACAGATTTAGAAGCAATACACAAAATACACCAAGATTCTAGCAAGAATACACATGCCTGTGTATTGCTTATCCCAAAGTTCAACTTTAAAAGCTACTAACAAAAATGTTTCTCTTACTTCTCCTGAACATATGCACAGATGCTGGAGTTGATAATAGCCAAAAACCTGTGTGAAACATGCTTGACAGTTTTCTCATAAACTGGAACTATTTTACTTATGAAGGGAGTTATAATTCTGTTCAGACATCCTCATGATCCAAACACTCTTGCCACCCAGATCTTTCACCTTCACAGCAACAGCAGCACATGTTTGTCCAGAACTCCAAGTTTGGTGATTTTACTTCTAAGCTGCTCATTGTTCTCCTTGCTGGAGAGGAAGTTGTACCTGCAGTGCAAGAATCTACCTGTTTCTGCTGGATTCATTCTATAAATCTGTGCATCCTCCACCCCCTTGCTGCTTCTTGAATATTCTCCCAGCAGTCATCAGACCACCAATATTTAGGGCACAGCTCTGATATATGGAAGGGAAGCCCTGCTCCTACCAAGATGGCAGCCTGCAGACAGAGGCACAGTGCTAAACAAAGGCATAGTAAATCAATAATGGGGAAAAGATCAGTATTTAGTTGCAGTGAGCCTATGAGCAATACTGATGACTAGCCTTTTGCTTGTCTTTTATCGCCAGAACCTTTACAGTTCAGGGGCAGTTTAATGAATACATAATTTTATTGACTGGAGTTTTGATACCTGTTTGGGGTTTTGCTTTAAGATAAATTTAAATAAAGTTATAATGTATTACTCAATATTTTTATAATCATTTCTACTGTAAAGCTAGCCATACAGAGCTGGATTATTGCAAATCATGCAAACAGTGTCACCGCTGATACTTTGGCTGAATATGGAAAATTAGGGGTCTAACATGGAGCACCGAGTAGGTCACAAAGTGCTAGAAAATATTAATCGAATTTCTGTAGCTGTTACCTTTTCCATAAGTGGGGAAACATTCCCTTCATTAAGTACATATCAAGTAATTTACAGACAATAAATATTTGATGAATATCTTCAACTGTTCAAAACTCAACAGTCATTATCAATCAATCAGTCTAAAATTATACAAGTCACAGAAGATGATTGCATTATACATGCTAGAGTCATTCATTCACTTGCAATTATACTATCCTTCCTAAACTATTTTACCCTTCAAACATTATCTTACTTTATCCTTGCCCTATTTTATCTTTTCTACCCTTCCTATCTTTTAATATATCATATCCTATCCCCAGGACACACACTGGTCTTTCCCCAATGACATTCCAACTCCAGCAAACACACATTCTATCCCACCGACTAGTACACTGACTAACCTCACTGTGTATAATCTATCTCATAGGGACTGTCCCTGTTCAAAATCATCCTACCAAGTGTTATATTGACTGATGACACTCTATATAACTTGTTACTAAATGTCACACCTAATAATTTCTCACAGCTGTCACAACTACCAGTGTCACTTTGTATAATCTAAAGTGTTAAGAAAGTCAACAGCACTCAGAAAATAAAAACACAAATCCAAGTTCCATTTACTGGATTTCCAATAAATGGAACTTGGATTTACAGCATGTTCTCTTTGCATGAGGCATCCGTGTAACCACTGCAAGCACCACCACTGTCTGCAGGTTGCAACGCTATATGGAGTGCAGGTGACCCATGACATCACTACTTTGTATATTCTGTCTTCAACCAATAGAAGTATGCCTATGGACAGAGAAAATCAGGCACTATTCATCTGAGGGACACTACTATGAGTTCTGCATGTTCTTATGAGACACGCATTTTTCAAAGTCCACAAAAAATATGGAAAACTTAAAATAGTAATACAATGAGATTCATTTTTAACCCATTTTCGGTCCCATTGTTCTTTTCATATAGTTCTAAAGACATTTTATAGGGACATCCCAAACTTCCATTGCATGCATTTTTGTAGACTGAATCGTGAGAATTATGGAAGAAGGGAAAGAAATTTTGAACTTACATAGTCTTCTATAATTTCCTTGATACCAGCCACAGTAAGGATGAAGATTAAGGGCACCAAAGTAGTATATCTTCCAGTTGGAGAGACATCTGGGATTTGCTAAAGAAAAAAAAAAAAACAGAAACAAAATGTTTTCCTTCAAACATCAATTATCAGGAATAAAACTTATTAGAACTTAAAGCGGACATTTATACCCTTTCACTAAAAATCACATCAGCATGCAGCTCTCCATGCTGATATAAAATGATCTTACATTCCTTAAACAAACTTTTTTTTTTCTTTTACTTATAATTATTGTTTTTCCACTTCCTAGTCCTTTTAGGCATTAGTGATGCAATGTGCCAAAGCAAGGAAGGTTACATCAGCAAAGCATTGCTGACAAATCTCATCTAAATTCTCATGAGATCTCAGGGAAAGGCATTTTCCTCCCCTGGGACGATGTGCATGGTCACATGTCCTAGATACATGTTTCAAAATTCCAGGAAGTAAAGGGAGATATATTAATCTACCCTTAGTAAAAATGGCAACTTTGAGAAGAATAGGGAGGAAAAGAAAATAAGGTATGAAAAGAATAAAAAGCGGGCAATTATCTATAAATATCTGTTTGTAGATTGTCATTACTAAACATTTATAAAGGTGCCTTTGTTGTCATTTCAAAGATAAGGGTAAAGTCTCTCTTTAAGGCAGTATGCTTTTGAGGGTCCCCGGTTCAAATCCCAGTCAGGACACTATCTGCATGGAGTTTGCATGTTCTCCCTGTGCTTGCATGGGTTTCCTCTGGGTACTCCAGTTTCCTCCCAAACCGCAAATACATACTGGTAGGTTAATTAGCTCCTGTCTAAATCAGCCCATGTATGTATGCATGTGAGATAGGGACCTTAGATTGTAAGCTGCTTGAGGGCAGGGACTGATGTGAATGTGCAACTATGTAAAACGCTGCATACATTGCAGCGATATATAAATACCTGTAATAAATAAATAAAAATACATTTGTACAGATGTTGATATAAAGGTATTGAAACAAGATATCTGACACATCTACAACTTCACAGTGCAGCCCATTGGTTTATATGTGTTGCCATTTCTGCATTCTTTATTGTAGAGTTGCTAGCGGGCCCAACAAT